AAGTCCTACTTCACCTGTGTTCCATGCTTGGGGGTCTTCAGGGTCTTCCGATCGACGCTGTCTACAGCAAAGGTGTTGACAGTGCCACATGGCCACATGATGCAACATGTGCAGGCCGCCTGAACTGAAGTGTGTTTTTGTTCCTGGCCAGAGGTGAACCTCAAGTTCCTAAGATGCTCCTAAAGCGAACAACTCGATCCCTGAGCACGCCAAAGAGGCGCAGAGGCTCAGGGGGCTCAGCGGCTCAACTTGCTGCTGGTGGTAAGTGCGCTAAAAACGCTACCTGCCAAAGGACTTGCAACAGACGAAGTGCAGCAAAGCAGCAGCGTAGCTGCGCACTGCGATCCGAAGTGCGGGTGTTGGCCTACCCTCTGTCACCAAGCAGCCGAGTTCCGGACATGAGGTTCGGGAATCTGCGATGAGAAGGCGCCGCCGACGGCGAAAGCAGCCAAGATACGCTCAGATGGGATTGCCTTCGCGACATTTTGCCTGAGCAACAAGCTTGCCTTTGGACGGCAAGGTGTCGGGACGTGGGGCATCAGCTTGGCCTTAAGGTGGAGGCTTGTGGAGCCTCGCGGAGGACGGCTGCACGCACAGGGGTTTTCTTCCCAGAAGTGTGTTTTGCCCGTTTGGAATAGTAGCCCACAGCTATTGTAAGGCATGGTTTGTTTCTACCCTATATACCAGCTACTTGCACATCCTGCGACGGGGCTGCAGCCAGTAATCAGCTGCAAGGCCTGGGCGCGACAACGCATGATGCATCCGGCGTCCCGTTTCCATCGATGAACAGTCGTGGGGACGGTGTCATGACGTGTTGTTGTCATTGTCCGAGAAGCACCGAGCTTCCCAAACGTTTCTTGCGGTTTTCCGAGAAGCAGCGAGCTTCAGCAAAGTTGACCCAAGAAACTCCTGGGAGCTGTAGGCGCGGATGTGTAGGCGGAGATTTGTGGCCAACGCGCCGCAGATCGAAGGGACGTCGCCTGAATTTCGACGAGGCACGAATTGGCCGGAAAAAGAGCCGGCTGAGGGTAAGGCCTGTGGTGTCCTGTGATGTCCTGTGATGTCCTGGCGTTGGCTCACACAGTTATTCGGGGATCTTGTCGTCATGTAGTCCGCGCCCAGGCGCCCGAGTAGGAATACATCCTGCGGTTGAACGGCAAGGATCCAAGTGCGGCAAGGGGGCGGGGGCCAATGGAAGCCGAGTAGCTTCCCGAAATGAGAGGCAGACGGGGAAACTGGAAGTGTAAGTTTGCTCGGTAGCCAACAGCAAATCGTGCGATTGCTTTGTTTGCCTGTTCTGCAATCCCTTCTCACCTAGCATAGGGGATGTGTGGCAAGAGGTTGAGTAAAAATATGATGTGTCACCAGGCGAAACCTTTGGCCAACCCAACAACAATTCCAGGCTGTGTTTTGGGCCCCCTGGAAGACAAAGTGATTTGAAGAAAGTCCTGTCAGCATTGAAGTCGACAAGCCCATTTGAATCACGCATGATCATCTCCGGCCGAACCCCAAACCCTAAAACCCTAAACCCCTAAATCGAAAACGCCTAGCGGCGAACCAGCGGCCGCTCCCCCAGATTGTTGGCAGATGTGAACGCAACACCCAAGGACAGGGGGCGAGGGGGGTGTGGCGGAGAAGGGGCAGGCGGTGAGGGAGGGCGGAGAGGGAACAGGATCCGAAATGCGCCCCCCCCCCCCCCCCCCCCCCCCCCCCCCCTCCCCCCCCCTTCATGCTCAAGATGCGCGCCGGAGGGGGGAAGCGGGGAGGGGGGGGGGGGTGGAGCAGCTGATCTCATGGTTCGCACCCTCCCGGGGCCAAAGAAGGTCCGAGATGCTCATAATGGACCTCTCCTTTAAGAAAACAGCGCCGGGCAAGCAAATGTGGAAAACTAGCTAGATACGGTATTTACGGCAGTTTCAGGTGTTTTTGGAGCCACAAAACGGCCTAAAATCCGCCAAGGAAGGGAAGGGCGGAGACATGCTGGTGATGCTGGCTGTCCCGGCCCTGATGCCCAAGGCTACCCTGGAAGGGCGGATGAAGGGCAGATGCAAGCGAGCCGACAAGGCCCCAGCTGATGCTCATGATACGCGCCCGAGGGGGGGGACGGGTACACTGTGGGTTTTTTTGGGTCGGCGTCATGTGCTCACCCCAAGGGATAGATACACTCAATGGGGAAAGGCATCCCTTTCTGTTTTGAAGTCGCCGTACACTGGGGGAAGAAGCTTTTGATTAAGGCGTCTCGTTTTGCGTTTACATGGGGATTCAGTGTGAGACGTGTTGATTTGTAGTAGAAGCTAAGTACTGGCTGGATTTTCATCGATTTGTAGTACAAGAGAAGTACTGGAATCGCCATTATCATGAGCCGGCAGGATTTTCATTGATTTGTAGTACAAGTTCCGTACTGGAATCGATGTTTCCGTGAGCCGGCTGGTTTTATTGATTTGTAGTACAAGTTCAGTACTGGAATCGACGTTGCCGTGAGCCGGCTGGATTCTCATTCCACGCTTAGTACTGGAATCGACGTCTCCGTGCTTTTTGGTAGCTTTCAAAAGCTCCTGGAACGGGCGTTTCCTTCGGGGGAATGCGGGTGGTGCAGATGCTTTCATGGTGTTGTAGTAGGCCTTTGGGGGGAGCGGCGTTCATTGCAGAATGGCATGTCTAGCGTGATGTTTCATCATGCAACATGCCCTTCTGTGGGCGGCGTTTACTTGGGGGAGTGATGCCGCAGGGTCGCCTTCGACAACTTCATGGTCCAACGGCGTTCATTGAGCTTTAACACACATTGAACAAGAAGGGCCGCCTTTCCCGGCCGGGTGTATGGCCGGCCCATCAGGGCTCAGGGTGATTCTGTCACGGCCCCCCGCCAGGGTGGTAGGAGGTAATAGGGGTTTCGGTTTCAGAAAAGTTTCCCCAGAAAGGTCGCAGGAGGTCCCGGAATAAGTCCCGCGGCAGTCCCACAAAAACCCAAAACCACAAGACTTTTCCGCCCTAGGATGCTCAGGATTGGGTGTACCTGAGAATAGCTCGGACTTGATAAGTGAACCTTTGTGCCGTTTGTCCAGTAGAGTTGCCTCCAGCCGCAACATAACCACGTGCACACATGCACTGCCTCTTCAGTCGAAGTCAGAGGGCGATCATTGCGGGTTGATCCTTGCGTTGCGTGATACAGCAAAGCAGCACCCTCCTGCTAACGAACTGGTCATGCGTGCCGATGTTTTTAGGTCACAACTTGCATTTTCCCCACCCACGCCAAAAAGAAGTGCCGCGGTCCGCCCATTGTGAGAAGCAAAGTGCAGTGAGTGCACGTACGGGGTGCAAAGGCAATGGCACCTGACAAGCTGTCAAGCCAGGGGAATCTGCAAAAGACATTCAAACCAAAACGTCGAGTTTTTGGATTGTGCTCCGAGTCCCTTTTGCTTCAGACGTAAGCAAACTACTTTGTGGAGTTGCCGTGAATTTGCATCCATCCAATTTTCAAACTCTAGACTTGCATACACGCAACATCCTTCATGCAATCCACCTGCGTGAGCTACTGTGCAGTCCCCGGCACGCCATCCCGGACGGATCCCCAGTTGGCGTCACCGAACAAAAGCAGTCCTGTCTGGCAGGGGACGGGGATGGGACGGGGACGGAAATAGTGTGCAAAACTAAGCCAGCAGCATCCAGCAGCGATACAACCCAGAAGCGGTAACTGCCCAGCAGTACAAACCCGAACTCCGAATCTTCAGACCTCTTTCTCTTTTCTTGAATGTCGCGTTTTGCTGGTTGGTGGTTGGGACAGCAGAAGTTAAGAGCACAATGCACCACGTGCAGTAAGAATAATAATAAGAAAGTTCTAGCAAACGAATGACAATTATAATGATAAGAATCATACGGTTAATAATACTAACAATAAGAATAAGAATAGTAATAAGATTATTAACAAGAACAATTATAATTGCTAATTGTTTTTATTCTTCTTTTTCTTATTATTGTTATTATTATTGGTATTATTGTCATTAGTATTCTTGTTCTTCTTCTTCTTCTTCTTCTTCTTCTTATTCTTATTCTTAAGCAGACTGCAGGTGCATGGTGTCACCCCGCATTCAGCCGGGAGTCTTTGGGCTCTTTCGTTGCGCAAGCGGCACGTGATGGGTATCCACAGGTATCCGCAAGTGCAAAACCCAAATCGTTCTTGGGGGTTTGGGTTTTAGGGTTTTAGGGTTTTAGGGTTTAGGGTTGAGGGTTTAGGGTTTTAGGGTTAAGGGTTTAGGGTGAACCATGACATGGCATCCTAGGCCGGTCCGGATGATGCAGTGGGCTTTAAGTTTTTTTTCGATTTGGCCACTAGTGTATGGTCTATCGGGCTAAAGATTCATTTTTTTCACTGTGTACTTCGAAGAACATGGGTTGGGATGTTCCCCTAAGAACAATCCTGAATAGGGATTCTAGTACCCCTTCCTTATTCAGGAGCTGTCAGTATGAGGGGGAACATCCAAACCCTAAACCCCAAACCCCAAACCCCAAAACCTAAACCCTAAACCCTAAACCCTAAATCCTAAACCCTAAACCCCAAAACATGGGCATCTTTCTTAGCCGCAAGCATGGACGTCCGACCGACAAAGAGTCGGTTTGGGCAGCCGACGAGCGCAAGTCCTGCAGTGAGCTCGGTGCCTCGACGGTTATGACAACTTGATTTTAGGGTTTAGGGTTTAGGGTTTTAGGGTTTTAGGGTTTAGGGTTCAGGGTTCAGGGTTTAGTGGTTTAGAGGCAAGGTTTTCGCATGTAGTGAAAACGTTCCCAAGGCTGCGAGTACATTGCGACGTCGGACAGCCATTGCTGCGAAGATTGTCAGCATTCACAGGCAAACGCCTGAGTTTGACGCATTGCTTTCGAGATGATTGTAGGCTTACCCAAGTTTGTGGCAGGCATCGTTTCATTCACATCGCTGTGCCCGCATCAGCCAGTGTCCCTGCGCAATTTTCGTATGTCTTTCAGCATGCGATTGTTCTTTTTTTGACATGGTTCCCATCCTTGGGCTCAGTGACCTCACTAGCAAAGATGCAGGACGCTATTGCAAGACAGTTGGTGGGAGTATGGATGCCGGCATGGCGACTTCCCTGATGGGCACAATGCCCGGTGCATCCTCATTCCTCCAAGAGATCCCTGTCGATGTGCCGCAGTGGTTCTTGTTCTGCTCGGAGATGGCCATGTTGGTGGCAAGCAAGACTTGCTTGCTGATGCAGTCGGCCACATATTGCGCGATCCCGCCCGGCCCTCGTTGTGTTGCTTGCTGTTATCACGTCTGGAACGTTTTTGACAAGTGCAATCGGCGTGACCAAGGCCATTCGGTCGCAGTGTTACCTCGTGGTTCCGGATCCTACATACGAGAGCGGACTCGTTTGTTGGCGACGAAAGCCGGAGTGGGACGGAGCTGTCGCTAGCCTAATACCACCTTCAAACCTCTCCGTCCGGAGATGTTGTTTGCCGAGTCTATATATATATATATAATATCATAGATAATATATAGATATATATATATATAATATAATACAATATAATATTATATATATATATATATATATTATATTAACAGTTGGTTCTCCAATGCACCTGAGGTGGTTTGGGAGGTCTTCACGGAGGTCTTGACAAGACTCGGCGCTGACCGCGTGAATTTCGTGCCTTGTCCCAAGGGTGGTGCGCATGCATGTGAGAGTGAAAGCTGAGTTAGGAGTCCGCTTTGCGGGTCTCTTGAAGCCAAAACCGCAATGTTATGAGTGCTAAAGTGCCATGTCTCTAACCCTAAGCCCTAAACCCTAAACCCTAAGCCCTAAGCCCTAAGCCCTAAACCCTAACCCTAAACCCTAAGCCCTAAACCCTAAGCCCTGAGCCCTGAGCCCTAAACCCTTCACTTCAGGGCATGCTGGGCTGGTTCCTTAGTTGGGTCCCGTAGCAGCCACAACAGGGCCCCAAAAGGGTACATAAGCTGCCAGAGGCCTGGGGCCTATATAACATACTATATGTTAGGTATTAGATATATTATATATATATATATTATATCATATACCATATATTATATATTATATATTATATATTATATATTATATATTATATATTATATATTATATATTATATATTATATATTATATATTATATATTATATATTATATACTATATATTATACATTTTATATTATATATATTATATATTATACATTATATATTATAGATTATATATAATATTTTATATATGGATTATGTATTATATAGTTTCATTATATATTATATATTATGATACATATATATATATATATCTATTATATTATATTTATATTTATCTATTATATATTATATATTATATATTATATAGATATGTTATATATTATATGTAATATATATATTGTTTATATATATTATATATATATATTATATTTATTATATATATATATATATTATATGTTATATATTATATATATTCATATAATAATTTACTATATATATTACATATCATATATTGTATATTACATTTTTATTATAATATATAATATATATATATATATATTATATATTATATATTTATAATTATATATTTATTATTTTCTATATGATATTATATATTATATATTATTTATATATATATTATATAGTATATATTATATATTATTTAGTATATATTATATATCATATGTTATATATTATATATAATATATATTGTATATAATATATTTTACATAATATACTATATATTATATATTATATATTGTATATTATATATTATATATTATTTTATATTTTATATTATACTCTATATTATATATTATGTACTATACATAATATTATATATTATATATGATGTATTGTATATTTTATGGTATATGCTTAGGCAGATTTAGATCACAGGCTAAGCTCTACGCGACGGGAATCTCGATGGGCGCAGCTGGTGTTTGGGACTTGGCCATCCGATACGGTGACTTCCTAGCGGCTGTGGCCCCAATTGCAGGGAGGCTAGGCAGGGTCTCTGTGAATGTCTGAGTGTGCGTGCAAGCAAGCAGGCAAGCTCTAGCTGTATAGCCTTCCACAACAGTGTGGCGTTGAAACTCGACCATGCCCAGAAACGTCTTCTAGCTCTCCAGTGTCAAGTTATGGCCATCGGCCCCTGCAAGGTGTCTATGGCCTGAGAACAGCTGGCCCATGAATTCGCCCACACCGCATCCCAAGGCCAGGGCCTTGCAGGTGTTTTGAGGTGGCCGATTGATGGTAGTTGGGATGTTCCCCCTTGTACCAAGAGTCCTTAACAGGGATTCGAATAGGGGGTACTTAGAATACCTCTTAAGGAGCTGTTGGTATACAGGGGAACATCCCCCAAGATAGTAGGCTGGTTTATCAAACCTAAACCCCATTCAAACCCTAAACTCTGTTTATCAAAAGGCAGATGTTTTTTTCTTTGGTCTTCGAGGTGAGCCAGCGCTTGCAGCAACTTCCGTTGCGCGCGTACCAAACCAACACGGACAGGCTCAAGAACATGCTTAGGGTTTAGGGCTTTAGGGTTCAGGGTTTAGGGATAAGGGTTCAGGGTTCAGGGTTTAGGGTTTAGGGTTTAGGGTTTAGGGTTTAGGGTTCAGGGTTTAGGGTTTAGGGTCATGCTCCTGCTGATTGCACTTCATCCCCACAGCTTATGGAACGGTAAGTGTAGTGAGCTTGCGAACGGCTGCAGGTATGCCGACAATCCCAGTGAAGACCTGGAGTGGCTATGCAAAGACTGCACAGAAATGGCTTGCGAACGGGACCTTCCAGGTGACGGGACTCGAACGGCTCTGAGTTGCTGCGTGGCATGTCTTTGAAGTGAGCCCTAAACATCCCTAAACCCTAGACCTTAAGCCTTAAGCTCGAAACCCCTAAACCCACCCTAAGCCCCTGGCAGGAGTTGAGGCTGGCAAATACTGCCGCGTCAAACAGCGAGTCTGGCAGAGGTCAGGTGGAGGTCGCTTGGGTCTGGCTCCGGAGTTTAGGGATGTGGTGTATCTCAGGGTTTCATGCTGGTTTAGGGATGTAGTGTTTCACCCTAACCCCCAAACCCCAAAGCCCAAACCCCAAACCCCAAAACCCCATACCCTAAACCCCAAACCAAAGGGTTTCATGGGTTTGGGAGGGGGTTTGATGAAGATTGGGATGGTGTGTGGCTGCAGGTGCGAGCATGGAGCTGTGGTCCGCGCAGGGCCCACTCGAAGACTGGCCTTCGTGCGCGAACCTCAGAAAAGTCCCAGAAGAAGCAGTTTAGGGTTTAAGGGTTTAGGGTTGAGGGTTTAGGGTTGAGGGTTTCGGGTTTAGGGTTTAGGGCTCGCAACCATCCTCTCATGTGATCTCATGTGAGGGCTCTCAACGGCTATCAGCGCTGTTAGGGCTATACCTGAGCTTTGCTGAGGCCACTTGTCGCAACGTTTCAACGACCATCTACTATGGTTCAGGGTCTATCCCAACGAGGAGTGGGGCCTCGGAGCTTTTTTCCAACAGCATTCGACTTCAAGGCCTGCATTTCAAGAATCGGGGGCATGAAGGGTCCCCAAAGCATTGTTCCGACACCGTTGGAGTCCTTGCCACAAGTATGCCTGAAGAGCAGGTAGTTCAACGACATTTTTTGCAGAGCAGTTGGGAATGCGGGGGCTGTGACCTTGCATGTTGTATGCTTTGTGTGGCCGTGTCAGATGCGCCATTGTACTGCATTCATATCTTGTGTACTACCAACCAACTTTCCAACAGCGGTGGGACTGTGGAAATACGAATGTTGGGCTGCTGTGGAACTTAGGAAAACTAGGCAAACTGAATACAAGAACATTGAGCCCTGAACCCTTTGAACCCTAAACCCTAAACCCTAAACCCTAAACCCCAAACCCCAAACCCCAAAAGCATGGGCAGGGACCGACAATGGCGCCCTGGCCTGCCACTGGATCCCAGATCGTTTGAGCAGCGCGCGGACACTTAGTCCTTGTGGCTGGAAAAGGTCCGGCGACGGGGTTTAGGGTTTAGGGTTTAGGGTTTAGGGTTTAGGGTTTAGGGTGCTTGCTCCATGCATCTCCTCTCTCTCTCTCTCTTGAAGACCTGTCCGAAGCGATGGTTAACGTTGCAGATGCACTTGCCACGGCAACAGCACATTTTGACTCAAGCGTGCGGCACCACGGAGCATTGGTTTTGTGTGCCGACGTGGAGATGGCGGGAACTGAAGCCCGGCGAAGCAGAAAGATTTCTGTTGTACCTCGGGATGGTGGGCTCCCTCCCCAATGTTTTCTGGGACCATGTTAGGGTTGCGTTTCAGCAGTGCTCGAGCAAGGAAATTGTGATTCACCGGGACGACATCATCAAAGAAGGTTTTCTTGTCAAGCAGCCTGGATCTCGGGCCCTAAGCCCTAAACCCCAAACCCTAAACCCTGGCCAGTTGGTCTCCAAGGTCCAAGCACATGAAAGAATGGAGAAGGCTCGGCCAGAGAGCAAGTTATGACTTGCTGTTGGCTTGTCGGGAACGAAGGAATGGGGCATGATAGCTATCCTTACTACAATTCCTTCGTTTCCTACTCATCGGTGGTATGCCCTAAACCCCAAACCCTTGTCAAAACCCTAAACCCGAAACTCGAAACCACAAAAACCCTAAACCCTAACCCTAAACCCTAAACCCTAAACCCTAAACCCTAAACCCTAAACCCTAAACCCTAAACCCTAAACCCTAAACCCTAAACCCTAAACCCTAAATTGGCTCCCTCCCGTGGAGAGCATGAGTCCAGGCGCTGGTTTGTCTTGACGCCGCAGTACCTGTGCAGCTTTAAGTCTCAGGGCCTCTGCCTCAGGTAGCCCGAAGAGGGGTTACTTGGAGGTTCAGGGTACTTATGAACACATTATAAGTGTAGCTATCACCTACATATAAGCCCCTTAAGTACCCTAATAGGGTTCGAACTGGGTTAGACGCACAGTTATAGTTGGGGTACCAGGTACCATGAACCTCCAAGTAGGCTTGGAGGCGCACGGAACAACCTCCGCTGAGAGGTGAGTACAGGAATCCCACCGAGCACATAAGGCCGTGGTCGCAGAGATCTTGTAATTCAGTTGCCTTCGAAGCGCCTGACTTCAGCCTTCCTCGAAGAGGTTGGCAGAGTGCTCCACAGTCAAGTCAGCAGATGAGGCCCCCGGTGAATGCACCGTAGCTAGAGGGAGGCAGATGAGGCCGGGGGGTGCCACGGAGTGGTAGGGTTCACCTCAGTTTACCTCCGAACTCGGAATTTCCCTCTTGGATGTGAAGAGAGTGTGCTGCTGCTGCTGCTGCTGCTTCTGCTGCTGCTGCTGTGCAGGATACTGGGAAGGAGAACTCCTTCCGTGTCGACACGCCAGCACGTGCACCTTGGCGAGCACCAGCCGCTAAATTCGCCCCTTCGGTGTTGTGCTCTGTCGCCCCTACACTGTGAAGAGTAGATGAAGTTTCTGTTGAGGTACTCGTAATAGTATACGAATATACTCTTAATATAAGATCGTATGCCACTAATGCTTGTGAATTATGTTAGCTCAACGCTCATCGTGTGTCCCAGCCTAGGTCTTCTACCTGATTGCGGACTCTTCGTCAGACAAGGCGCGAGAGCTTTTTGGGAACAAGGGCCGCGCCTGCTCAATGAGTCAACTGAAGCAGCCGATACTTGAAAGATGTGGCAGGCATCCATTTCTCCTGATACCCTTCGGTTTAGGGTTTAGGGTTTAGGGTTTAGGGTTATTCCAGGAGTCCTGGATTGGTCATATCGGCCGTCAGATGGTCCGGCCAGCAGTGACCCATCTGCAGCCACTCCTAAACCCTAAACCCTAAACCCTAAACCCTAAACCCTAAACCCTAAACCCTAAACCCTAAACCCTAAACCCTAAACCCTAAACCCTAAACCCTAAACCCTAAACCCTAAACCCTAAACCCTCCAAGATCCTTGCGTTGCAAACCCCATATGCGAGACGGAAAAAAAAACGGTCTTCTGCGGGAAACGCTGAAAATTCTCAGGTACTTATGGATGACCACAACTTCGAGTGATCTCCAATCAATCGCTTTTCGACAATTGCCAGGAGCTCATGGTGTGTCAGGTTCCTGCCGGTTTAGGGTTTAGGGTTTGGGGTTTGGGGTTTGGGGTTTAGGGTTTAGGGTTTGAGGTTTAGGGTTTAGGGTTTAGTTTTTTTTCGTCAGTGCTGTTCCAGACTTCGGTTTGCCAGTTGCCCGAGGCCTGGACAGAACACAAAACATCAGACGCGCAGCGACTAAGCCCGCTGTGAAGCGCGCGACCTCGTTACAATCTCACTGAATGTTCCGGAGTTGGACTCCACCGAACTGGTGTACAGCCGTCCCTGCACGGGTGGGGAGAAAGGTGAGCTGCAGAGAGTTGCCGTGCACCATGTGTTCCTGCTCGGGCGCCACACGGACGCCTTGGTAACATCTCGAGCCATGGCGTGAATCGTGCAAGGTGAAGAGTGTCTTGTTTGCCTGAGACACACACACACACACACACACACGCGCGCACACAAAGTGGCTCAAAGTGTAGTGCTCACGGGCGTCCGCACTGGGCACCACCGAGCCGCAGGACCTGAACGTCAGCTTGCCCTCGGCTGCCTTCTCCGCAGTGTGAAGCATCCAGGAGCCATGACAACTTTGCGATGGCTTTGGCGACTCACCATTGCAATACTTCTCGCCAGTGCCTGAGCCAAGTCGCCCCGCCCCCCCCCCCCCCCTCCCTTTTGAAATAAAAGGGGGCTAAGGGAGTAGGATTGTCATGGGTGCATCAGGGTACTGAAGCTTGGGTCGTGGCGCCACATGTGTCCTCAGGCCCATGCGCAAGCAGACAAGGACCCGAGCATACACAGCCTCTCTAACTTTTTGCTGAGGTGGTTGGACTCGAGACTGTATTTCATGCCCCCCCGCCCCACCCGCACCCCCAACTTCTTCAGGAGAATATTGTTAAACTCAACAAGTTCAACTTTGACGACAACGTGAAGCACGGTGTTTGGTTTGTGAAGTTTTACGCGCCGCGGCCTTGTTCGACGAGAGATGATTCGTAAAACAGACGAGTGAGCGTCTGTCACTCCCTGGCTGTACAATTACTTCCGAGGCCCTGGTGCACTCACTGTCAGAGGTGGGGTATTGGGGGTCTCCGAAATTGGGGGTACCTTCTTGGGGTCCTTTTTCTGAGGGAACCCTACTATTTTTGGGGTCTATGATTCGGGGTCCCTTGTTTTCGTAAACCCCCCGGTATATGTGTATGGATTGGTACATGCTGGCACTGCTTCCTTTGATTGTTTTCGAGCTGGGGACCTCATGTGTGGGCCTTCCCTCTCTCTGGGTGAATGGGAGGCTAGCGCCCATCTGGGAGAAGTTCGCAGATCAGGCTGCGTGCATCTCAGAATCATTCAGGCCACGAGTTTCTGAGGCGCCTTGTGGAGCTCAAGCTTCGCTTTTTCCTCAAAAGCTATCAGGCTGTCAAGGAGTGGCCCGTCAAAGTCGCAGACGTCCTGCCGCCAGGATTTCACTGGCTCATGAAGTTTCGCATAGAACGAAGCCCCACACCTGCGCATGGGGATGTTCCCCCTTTATGCTAGCCGTCCTTAATGGGGATCATAATAGGGGGGTACTGTCGTCCCTTCCCCCCCTATACTAACAGTCCTGAATGGGGATCATAATAGGGGGTACTGTCGTCCCTTCCCCCCTAGACTAACAGTCCTGAATGGGGATTATAATGGGGGGTACTGTCGTCCCTTCCCCCCTATACTAACAGTCCTGAATGGGGATTATAATAGGGGGTACTGTCGTCCCTTCCCCCCTATACTAACAGTCCATAATGGGGACTATAATAGGGGGTACTATAGTCCAATCAAGGACTGTTAGTCTGAGGGGGACATCCCAACCTGCGCACTTTGCCAGGTGGACTGCACCGTGAGCAAGCCCATTTGTGATAAGGCCAACGTCAAGGCAAGGCACCGTTTAGGGTTTAGGGTTTAGGGTTTAGGGCCTAGGGTTTAGGGTTTAGGGTTTAGGGTGAGTGAACGCTCTCATCGGGGGGTTTTCCAGGCGGGCATGCCCTTTGCATGAGTGTAGGCAGGCACGAGGCTTTCCACATCTTTCCACACTACGCCGAGAAACTGATTGATTAAGCCTTCCTCCTTCGCGTCCCCCCCCCTCGCCCCCGCATGCTCCCCCCTTTCCTGTCGCCTCTAAGCAGTGGAACAGGATTTGCACCTGCAACAGGTTATGCACTACCAGTGGATGCGCGTGCGATTTGATGCTCTCAGTGCATGTTTCTATGAAGGCTCAGCTGCGAACGGTTCTATTTCAAGAATAGTCAAAGAGCCAGCACGGAAAGCTGGGGAGGGAGCGCACCAGACACTCTGGCTTTTAAGAAGCTTGGGACGCAGGTTGGGTGAGGGGAAAGCGCCGGTGGGCGCCTTTTGGTGGGCGCCTTTGGGGATGCCTTGGGGCCTGGGTGGGGTCTGGGGGCTGAGGGTGCCCCGAGAAGCTGGATGTGCGGTTGCCAGCGTAAGCTTGAGAAATCTTGAGAGACTGGCATGTCTCAGAAATATTCAGAGAAGTAGAGCCCATGATCACGTGGATCTCCATGACGAGAGACGCTCGCCGATCACATGGTATGGAAGCCGCAAGACCCTGGGCAAAATCCCATGGCCTTTGCTGATTATTCCGTCCGCTTCGATGAAGTACGCACTTTTTTTTTGAGCTGGAAGCTCGCTTCTAAAACGCACAGGATTCTAGTGCAGAGTACAGAAATAGAATTCACCTAGAAGAAACAGCTCGGCTGCAGGGCATCCCTACCCTCGCCCTGATCAAAGAGGGCGTGATCAAGGGAAAGTACCGCGGCGAAGACCTCACCTCAGAACATACTGCTCGGAGTGGTGGGGTTTAGGGTTAGGGTTCAGGGTTCAGGGTTGGAATAACTACTAATTATTGCAGAATTTCGAGTACCTCGGTTTCGAAGTTAGCAACTCTGATGACGACCCCAAAGAGACGGACTCTAGACCCTTAGAGCAAATACATGATGGCTCCCTAGAGACTCCAAAACCCCTTAATTAAGGAATATACCTTAAATCATATTAGGGTTCCTATTATAATTTAAGGTATATTCCTTAATTAAGGGGTTTTGGAGTCTCTGGGTCTGTGGCGTTTTTTTAGCGCCAAGCCCCGAGTCGAAGCCTGCGAGGCCTCTGTGACCTCCCTCCAAGCCTGGTTGGTCGAGCAAGGTGTGATGCAGGCTCTTCTGAAGCCTCTGCGGAATCCCAGAGACTCCAAAACCCCTTAAATAAAGGAATACACCTTAACTTATAATAGGAACCCTAGTATGATTTAAGGTATATTCCTTAATTAAGGGGTTTTGGAGTCTCTAGGAATGAAGGGATTCTGTGCGTTTGGGCGTAACCTCCCCTCGTGATGGACGTGATTTCAAAGAGACTGTGGCTTGTCGCTTCGCGCCGGCTCAGCATAGTAGCAGCTTCACCGCGTAAGAAGCACAGAAGGATGAGTAGGGGGGGGGGTCCTTGTTACACGTCTTCCTTTTACCAGCCTGCCTTTCCCAGGATAGTGACTCCCTCAGTCGCACGAAATCTCTAGCCAACCCTGCAGCCATCAACTATCCTAAGCTCGCATCTGAAAGTGGCAGCTGCGGATGGAAAGCACGCCTTCCAGACATGGAGGCAAAAAGCAAGTTCAGGCATTGGCCTCAGTGCAGCTTCGCAGAAAGCTGTTTCCGCATGCCCGGGCTGAGCGGAAGAGAGTGCCCATGAACTTGCCGAGGTGCAGAGCCAGTGCCTGAGCTTTTCGGGGCTGCGACTTTTTTTTAAGTCTCTTAAAGTAAAGCTCTTTGATCAGAGCTTAGCAGTACGAATCAGGCTCTGCCACGCTGCCTCGTGTTGGCTCACTCGACTCGACCGAATCCGCGGTGCAGTCGGTGACCCGGCAGGAAGGGGAAGCCTGGCTGCAAGTGGCGAACGGGGGGGGTCATTTTTTGTCACTACCAGCTGCGATGATGTGTAGAAAACATGAGTTCTGAGAGCAGTCATATACTGTGGTACTTATCATGACTAGTTCATGACTCTCATGACTTCGTAAATCGCAGTGGGGGTCGGCCCATGGCGTGCCCTTAGGTGCGAGTGGTCCAGTCGAGCCAGTCCATTCAGGAGGATGAGGATGCTCCGGGTGGTCTCTCGTTGCTCCTGAACCTGTACCGGTTCAATGAGCGGATCACCATGCGAGCGAAGAAGCTGGGTGGCACCCAGTTCGCCAGAGCTTCAGGGGGGAATACCTGGGCATCCTGATTCATAACATCCATATTATCAATATGATCAGTATTATCAACATTTTTCAATATTATCAGGATTCTCAATGTTATCAGTATGATCAATATTATCCGTATGATCAATATGATCAATATGATCAATATGATCAATATTATCAATACTATCAATATTATCACTATTATCAGTATTACCAATGTTATCAGTATTATGAGTATGACCAATATTATCAATATTATCAATGTTATCAATATTGTCAATATGATCAATATTATCAAAATTTTCAAAATTATCAAAATTGTCAATATTTTTCATATTTATCCATATGATCAATATTTGTTCACGATCGTGCGGCTGCTCGTGTTTTTTGATGTCACTTCGAGGTCGCTTGCGTCCATGCTGACGGGAACAGGATCGTCAAAAGCGCGGCTTGCCTTGCGCCGATGAGTAGATCAGGAATTGACACAAGTGTTCTGTTTTTGGTCTAGGGTTTAGGGTTTAGGGTTTAGGGTTTAGGGTTTAGGGTGCTCCTTCTTTCGAAGAGGGGCTGTTTGCTGCCTAGAGTCTGGGGCTTGATCTGGGTGCTTTGCTGCTGCAGTTGGTCTCCTGGCGTGCTGGAACGATCATTGTACGACGGTAAGAAGCGGGACGACGATTCCAGTGACATCCTCAACATCAAGGACGGGGCCCTGAAACCCTAAACCCTAAACCCTAAACCCCAAACCCCAAACCCTAAACCCTAAACCCTAAACCCTAAACCCTAAACCCTAAGCCCTAAACCCTAAACCCCTAAACCCTAAGCCCTCTGTAGTCCCGCAGCGGCCATGAGCTGTGCTTCCGAGGAGCTCTTCCGTGGATCCTCTGATGCCTTTCCCGACTCGGATCCGAACATTTTGCAGTTTCACCTGTCTCCCTGGGCAAGGACTGCCAGCACACAAGTTCCTCTACTTGGAGGTTCATGGTACTTCTTGAGCAATTATGACTGTACTTGCAACCCACTCCTAAGTGCCCTAAAAGGGTTATGAGTACAGTTACAAGTACAGTTATAATGGGTTAATACGTACCATGAACCTCCAAGTACCATGAAGGCTATTCTGCCGTTGTTGCCTCTGCAGCTGCTACTGCTACTAGTCGTAGGATACTAGTACCAGGCTGCATTACCCCCGTTTGCACGGGCAACTGTTGTTTCTAGTCCGTTTCTTTTTCGGGGGAGGTGGGGAGGGAGGGGTTGGTTGCGTGCTTTGTCAAACTGCATGTTGCAACCCGAATAGATCTTTCAAGCGTAAGCTCTGAGCCCGAGACCCCAAGACCAAGAACCCTGCAAGGCAAGCTTGACGTTTCAACCCTCCCGAAAGCTTCAGGCTTCAAAGCTCAACCCTCCTTAAACCTTACAGCCTAAACTCTGAACCCCAGACCTTCACACGAATCCCCAAAAAAGTTTGAAGTCGGAGCCCGAAAGCCTCAAGGTCAAACTCGAACCTGAAACCCCACAACCTCCTGCTCAATGCGATGCCCTTTCTGTTCTCTCCCAACGTGTCCTGCAACGGTTTAGGATTTAGGGATCAGGGTTTGGGGTTTCGCCTTTCAGCTCAACATTTCAGGATGTAAACTGCGCTCGCAACAATGCACAAAACCAGATATCGGGACGGGCAGGTCTTAAACTGACGCCAATACAGCCGAGACATGTTCTACATGTACTTTTTCAAGCTGAGCATGTCTGCTACGCTACCCGAATTCATCGCGCCTGCCAGTATTTCCGCGTGTTTCTCCTACAACTGCTTCACACCCCGACGGGCAGGCCACCACAACATGTCCTGCAACGACGCAGCTAACCCGCAAATCTGCGTGCAATCGCGGGGGACGCGTCCTAATACCAGTACTAGTTCTAGTACGAGTACCAGCACAGCAGATCGACATGCTGTAATTTACAGCGTTCGGAGCTTGCCAACAGCCAGAGACGCTGCAATCTACAGCGTTTAGAAGCCTCTGAACAGTCAGAGATGTGGTAATACTTACAGCACTCCGACCCTGGACCTGTCAACAGCCATAAATGCTGCAATTTGCAGCGAGCGAAACCTGAGAACGAGCCAGAAATGCCATCCCTAAACCCTAAACCCTAAACCCTAAACCCTAAACCCTAAACCCTAAACCCTAAACCCTAATTGCAGCGTGGCGAGCTGTGGATGGACTCAAGCAGCACTGTACTTTCTCGCCTTTCGAGCTTGTGAAATCCAGAAGTCCTGGTATTTTATGCCATGAAAGCCGGGAACGTGCCGCCCACGTGATGCAAAGGGACCACCAGCGTTCGTATACAAACACGCACACACACAACACAAACACAAACACAAACACAAACACAAACACAGATACACAAACACAAACACAAACACCAACACAAACACCAACACAAACACGAACACAAAACACAAACACACCTGCACCTGCACCTGCACCTGCACCTACACCTGCACCTACACCTACACCTACACCTACAACTACACCTCTACACCTACACCTGCGCCTACGCCTCCGCTTCCGCCTCCACCTCCACCTCCACCCACACCTACTCCACCTACACCTACACCTACACCTACACCTCCACCTCCACCTCCACCTCCACCTCCACCTCCACCTCCACCTCCACCTCCACCTCCACCTCCACCTCCACCTCCACCTCCACCTCCACCTCCACCACCTACACCTACACCTACACCTACACCTACACCTACACCTACCCCTACACCTCCACCTCCACCTCCACCTCCACCTCCACCTCCACCTCCACCTCCACCTCCACCTCCACCTCCACCTCCACCTCCACCACCTACACCTACACCTACACCACCTACACCTACACCTACACCGACACCGACACCGACACCGACACCGACACCGACACCGACACCTACACCTACACCTACACCCCCTACCTCCGCCGCATCAATCGTCTGTCCATGATGCAAATCGCCAAGCCAAAGTGCCATGCACACGGGTTTAGGTTCAGGGTTCAGATTATCTTCGACTGAAAAAGGGGGATGTGTAGGATGAAGGCCGTAGTGCAAGCGCTCTGATATCAACCAGCCAGCTCTCATTCCAGTGATACGGGGGGTTTCCAAAATGAGGGCGTGCCTTCTTGGGGTCCTTATTACAAGGGAATCCTACTATCTGGGGGTCTCCTTGCTTTCGTAAACTCCCATGATATGGTTCGGCATGCCATGTTTTGCATTTTCTGTCAGTGCAGTGATCCTCCACAAAATTGCAGCCCGGCAAGGATCGTAGAGCTGATCCGGCTGATCTCCGTGGTTGGCGGCGCGGACTTGCAACGCTAAACCCTAAACCCTAAACCCTAAACCCTAAACCCTAAACCCTAAACCCTAAACCCTAAACCCTAAACCCTAAACCCTAAACCCTAAACCCTAAGTAAACCCTGAAGAGATTGGCTAAGGCCTTACCCTGATCCGCGAGGTAGAGGGCTTCGGGCTTTCGATATCAGGTCCGGCAGTTGTTCCCCATTTTAAGGGGTTCTTAAGGGAAGGGGGGGTTCAGGGAGGGAGGGTACCTAGGGAACCTTAGGAGTAGTGGGGGAGTATGAGGGAAGCGTGGGTTGCATACCCCCCCCCCCCTTAAGAACCACCCCCCCTCCCTTAAGAGCACCATAACTCTTGCCAACCCTAAACCCTAAACCCCAAACCCTAAACCCCAAACCCTCAACCCTCAACCCTAAACCCTCAACCCTAAACCCTAATTTTTTTTGAAGCCTTTTTTCCACTTCCCCGATGCAGCCAAGGCACGTGCATCACTGCACCCCTCAGCTTTATCCTCGCCGGGGAGTGGGCCTTGCCAGACTCGGTCCCTGGTGGCCACGCCCTCTTGGCAATGGACTGCACCCTGACCTGCAACAGAACCATCATGGGCCCTACTACCCCTGAAACAACCAGGAGGAAACGGGGGGGGGGGGGTAGTATAGAGGGGGGTAGTAGGGGAACCCATGAAGCCAGCTATGCTCGCGAGGAATGCTTTGAGTGCTTTGGGCCTCAGTGCATCGAAAGCTCTCAGGCAGCTTCGACGTTGTCTACGCCGTCTGCCTTGTGATCCGATTCCGCATATCCTTCCTGCATCCTCTCACTAAGAAGGCAGCTTGGCGGAACTTGGCTGTTGAGAGGCGTGAAGCACAAGGTCTGTCTCGGAACGCCTGTATGACATGCCTGTCTCCCTGCTGGGAGCAGAGAAGACACCTTGTTTTTGAGTGTTCAACCCATAGTCTAATAATTGTTTTTCAGCCTAAGGAAGTCACAGATCCTCTCAAAATTCGGCGCTACTTCACTGGCAGCTTTGTCTGGTGGCTCGAAGCCATCAGCGTCTTTTCCCACCTGTGGCTAGGACCGCTATGCTTGCAACCGAGCCGACAGCATGTCCCAGTGTGACTATCCAATGACCCTATACCCCTAAACCCTAAACCCTAAACCCTAAACCCTAAACCCTAAACCCTAAACCCTGTAACTATCCAATGACCTATGCGAATACGTGAGTGCCAGGACTCGGCGCCTCATTGTTGCTCAACAACTTGAAGATCATCCGCGTAGGCCCCAAGTGGGTGTGTGGGTGTTGCGCCCGAGGAGCAAGCGGAGCTTCAGTCTGTCGGCAGGTCCTTTACTCAAGTCCCCAGATGCTCTTTGGAGGCTGGCAAGGGGTGCCCCAAATCTTGAGTCTGTACCCTGAAGCTGTCGGCTCTTGTTTTCATGTTTTTTCGGTTGTCCTCCGCCGAGCTCGGCCTTGTCCTGTTGCCATAGCTGCCCGACTAACCTCCATCTGTTGCCTGTTGGTCCTGGCACTCCGGCTTCTTCATAATCCAGTGATTGCCTGAGAATTCCTCCATTTTCCTGGCTTGGCCTAAACTGGGGCCTGGTGCTGATGACGCTGGACCCCCACTGTTGCATCTGCCTTATGCCGGGAAGATCTTCGAGCGTCGACTGCGCCTTCAAGCGAGCCTTGCAATGTCTTTTCCTCGAGTTCTGCGTGGTCCGCAGAGCGAACAGGAGCTGAATGCATCGCCACATCTCAGTGTCAAGGCTGCCGTCACGGATGTCGGCGCAATCGCGAAGAGCTCCTGAGAGTTTTGCGTCGTTGTGTTTTTTTCAAAATCCTCCTGGTAAGTCCCGGATTGCCTCGAGGCCTTTTCTGGCTTGTCTGCTTGCTTTTCCGATGGTTAAAGGTGGGCGCAGGCAACGAAAAGCTCGATGTAATCATTGTTTCGGCCACTCACTCCCTGAGAAGCCAAGAATTGATTGAAATTAGGGGCGGGCGGGGGTCGCCCGCCCACACCCATGCGTCCCCGCCCTCCATCACAGACACAGAGAAGCCGGCGCTTCTCTCTGCCTATCGGTACCACGTCATATTTCACGATGCCATGAGGATGGCACATGTCTGCTTTGCTGCGCTGAAACGGTCCTCCTTGCCAGGCGACCTTCGGTGCTTTGCTTCTGGCTGTGTAGATGCCTCATATGAAGTAGGGTATATATTTCTTGTACCCCCAAAAGGACACCAAGTATATACACTCACCAATATTAAAAAGGAACCTTATATGCACTCACCAAAAACAGTAATATAAACCCTGTTTCATTCCCCCAAATGCTATTTGCGGAACCTCCCACCATATGCCTTGAGTCTGGATGTTTCCCCCCTTGTACTAACAGTCCTTAGTACCTCCCCGATAATAATCCCTACTATAAGAACTGTTAGTACAAGGGGGCGTCCCAAACATCCCCCAGTCCTCTTCGCCAGGTGGGAGGACAGCAAGCTTGTGCGCCTTGGTCGGCCACCATTTCTGCTGGTCCTGGCAGCGCACTGGACTGCCTGTCTTCTCTTCACACTGGGTGGCTTCCGCTTCTTCGATGCAAGCTAGGTTCTTTTGTGCGACAGCGGACTATGGCTTTCTTGTTGCGCCCCCGCCTACGCTTCAGCTTGCAAAGAAGCTCGACATAAGCTTTAGGGGGTGCGTCGTGGTGGTTTTTGGCAACGCTTCCTCAGGAGACGAGCTGATGCGCGACGAAACGGAGTATGCGACAAAGTTCAACATGGGTTATGGCATCTCAGGCGAGGGGCCTGCCGTATCCCACAGTTGTGGTCGCAGCGAAGCTTATCCAGCCGAGCCAGATTGAGCCAGACTCAGCAAGTCCAATGCAACCGGAAGCAACCGCATTCCATAGCTCCTGCTTCTTTTTCTTCTTGCTCACCCGTTTTCAGCAGCTGCCGATACCTGATGCAGGTGAAGTGTCTGGTGGCGTGTCGCTGTACTTTATGGCATTTGTCGAAGCACTGCAGCTGCCCCAGCTTGGCAGCGGTTCTGATGATGTTGCTGGTAGGGTTTAGGGTCTAGGGTTTAGGGTTCAGGGTTTAGGGTTCTGATGATGTTGCTGGTGGCCTGGAGCCGTAGCCACTTGAGGTACATGCTCACGGGCGCCATGGACAACCCTCTGGGAGATGGGGGCCCCCGAAACAAGGTCCGTCTGACTCTGCGACCATTGCAATTTTCCCTGTAGGTCGACAGCACAGTTATATCAGCCGTAGAGTCATGCGATCGCACGGAATACAGGGCCAGACATGTGGTTGTCAGGATTTCGGAGCTTTGCTCATGATCGCCATCTTTGGGCCAGTGGGTTGTGGCTTCGGCTGCAGCAAGCGGCGTCAAGCTGTTGCCTCTGAAACCCTAAGCCTTCGGCACCCACATCCTTAGGTCCTCAAGAGCCAAAGTGTCATAAGAGCCAAAGTGAGGTGTGGTGGTGGCTCTCTTCATCTCTGCAATCATGCGCGAGCAGCAGAGAGCATTGGCCCTCGACAGCAAGCATGAGGAGAGCAAGGCGCGCGGGGCACAGGTTTGTGCAGCAGGGCAACCCCTTTGTGGCAACTGGGTGGTAACAAAAGACCCTAAGGCGGTACCCCCTAATGTCGGAAAACCCCCAACTGTTGTAACACGAGCAACCGAGAGAGTCCAGCGAAGTTTCAGGCTGCGGCTTAGGGGGGTTGCCAAAGTGGCACTGCTCCGTGGAAAAATGTTGGGTTTAGGGTTTAGGGTTTAGGGTTTAGGGTTTAGGGTTTAGGGTTTAGGGTTTAGGGTTTAGGGTTGTGTTCGACTGTCGACTTGTTCTTGGTCAGGTGCGTTTCGCTTGTCTCGCCGTGGGGGCCCTCTGTGTGCAGGCGTTTATGGAGCGCGCGCTGCAGATCCTGGAGATCCCTGATCAGTTGCAGCAGCGCGTGTCACTTGGCATTGTCTGACGTAGGGTTTAGGGTTTAGGGTTTAGGGTTTAGGGTTTAGGGTTTAGGGTTTAGGGTTTAGGGTTTAGGGTTTAGGGTTTAGGGTTTAGGGTTTAGCTTCATGACCCGAGCTGCGATAGAGCCTGTTGCAGAGGTTGAGCATGCACCTGTTCCAGAAGTTCGAGCATGACGTTGAGGCATCTTGTCCGACAGGCAACATCCCTGTTTGCAGCAAAAGGCGCGTGTGAGCAGACTCCAAGGCTTTCAATTCCTTGTTCGAGAAGAAAAACCTCAGCAAACCGTTGGAGAACACCTTGCTCGTGTATCTCTATCGCGATGGGGTGGCGCAGTCGCCATACTTCAGGACAGGGCCGCGTGCGAGCAGATGCTGTGCGTGTGCGTGCGTGCGCGCGCGCGTGCGTGCGCGCGCGTGGGTGTGTGTGTGTGTGTGTCCCAGTGTTCACAGTTAACAGTTAAATATCGTTGCGTAGTTTTGAGCATCTGCCATCTGGGTGTGCAACTGCAGGGGCAAGGATCCCAACTACATCATCGCAGTGCTCCAAGTTCTTGAGGACCAGCCACACACGGCCAAGCCAGCCCAAGCATGAGCAGTTGCACCATCTGGCCAGGCAAACCTTGCAACGACAAACCCTGTCCCCGGAGGATGAGGTGTACCTTCCGGGCGACTACGTTGCGCGCAGAGGCGAAGTGGCCCACGCGCTGCTTGCTTGCAGATTCTGCCTTCCTCTTTGCATGTTTGTGAATGTGTGCTGCCTAAGGATGTACTTCGTCAGCCGTGGCGTTCTCTCCATCCACGTTCCGGACCACGAGGCCCTGCACAGCTTTTTTTGCCCCTCTGAAGCGTTTCTGGGCGCAAGAGTCGGGCTTAATCTGCTCGACAAGCCGTGGTGGGGTTCGACCCCACCCGACATTCAAGGACGCCCAGAAAGTTTACCCTAAACCCTAAACCCTAAACCCTAAACCCTAAACCCTAAACCCTAAACCCTAAACCCTAAACCCTAAACCCTCGGTTGGCTACTCGGCAAGCCTGTCCTTTTCGAGCGGGGAGGTGGGATGTAGGCGCATGAGGGGCCCCGGGAAGAAGGTGCTCGGCTCATCGCTTCTGCATAGAGGGTTTAGGGTTTAGGGTTTGGGGTTTAGGGTTTAGGGTTTAGGGTTTAGGGGATCTGCTCCGAGCAGGATGAGCAGAATGTGGACAAAGCGAAGGAGATCAAGAAGCTGAGCATTGGGGAGCAGTTCGGCCGGCCCCTCAGGAGGGAGCCTACGGGAGAGGGGGTGCGCTCTCTTTTTTTGGGTTCCTTACCCTGCCACCCGGGGAGTTGACGAAAATGGGGGGTACCCCCTATATTAGACCCCCGAAATAGTAGGATTCCCTTATCATAAGGACCCTTAAAAAAGGTACCCCCCCCATTTTCGGAAACCCCCGTATCTTGTGGCCCTGTTGCTCAAACAACAATCGCTAGTTTATGAGAGTACAGGTGCGCAACCGTGGTCAGCAAAAAAGCCACTGACGTGATTGCATTCTTGCTCAGCCCTTCTGAAGGTGAAATAGCGTTGGTCAAGGACACAGTGCGGACAGCCTGGGTGCGCCAATGCCTCAGGGAGCATGGGAAGTTTGGGGGTTTAGGGTTCAGGGCCAATCCTGGTTCTGCCCTTTGGCCCCTTTGCCTTGGGCCGAGGTGCAGATACGTATGCCATCGTGTCTGCGCTGCCGTCGAAGTCTATCAGGTGCGGCGTTTGCATGAGAATCGTTGCTGAAGTGGGGAGGGGTACTACAAATCTCGCCGAGCACGAACCGCCTCACCACAAGGCTCGCCCTACTCGTAGCCCTAAACCCTAAACCCTAAACCCTAAACCCTAAACCGTAAACCCTAAACGCTAGTAGTCGTAACCTGCGTCCGCAGAGGCATGTCTGGGACTTCTATCCCAGGGAGAAGGAGGAGCTCGTCCGCACAGTGGAGGCGCATGCGGATACTTGGATGCAAAGGCACGCACGTGGAGAAATCGCACATGGGTAGTTTTCTAAATTAGGGCCCCTGTTTGGGTACCCCCTTACACGGCGGCACCCTTTGAAAAGGATCTCAAAAATGGACCCGAGTTTAGAGAACCACCCATATCAGAACCTCGTTCCAAGGTATCTGGAACCCCACCTGTATCGGTCCCCATCATCCTTAAACCCCCTCTGTGCCCTGAACTCCAAGAAGCCCTAGACCGCCTGAACTTTCAGCCACCCCTAAACCCTAAACCCTAACCCTAAACCCTAAACCCGAAACCCTAAACCCCAAACCCTAAACCCTAAACCCTAAACTCTGAACCGCCAAGCGCGTGATGCGCCCAGAAGCGGGACCGGGAGCGCAAAGCCAAGCAGCGTTGGGAGCGCGGCTTGGCGGGCGCCACGGTGACCCCCTGGAAGATCAGGGGCATGCGCCTTGGCGGCTTCGGGGTGTAGGGTTTAGGGTTTAGGGTTTAGGGTTTAGGTTCAGGGTTTCGGGTTTAGGGTTTAGGGCTTCAGGGGTCTTCGGGGCTTCAGGGGGTTTCGGGGGGCTTCAGGGGCTTCAGGGGCTTCAGGGGCTTCAGGGGCTTCAGGGGCTTCAGGGGGCTTCAGGCGTTTCAGGTTTTTCAGGGGTTTCAGGGTTTCAGGAGTTTCAGGGCGAGAGAGTTCGTTTATTGCTGTTGTGTCTGTCGGGTTTTGGGGTTACGCGAGTTTGCCTGGGCTTTGTGGGCTTGCGGGGTTTACGCAAGATGTCTTGGGACATCCCCGACGAAAGAAGTGGGCCCGATAGCCCACCGCCTCTTTGTCTGCGAAGCTCGCAGTGCCTTCAAAGCCAAACCCATATCCCTAGTAGGTAACCTTTAACCTTTTTGGGGTAATAGAATCCCCTTATAATCCCAAAGGTTAACCTTTAATTCCCCCAGGTTACTGGACAACTAAGTATCTTGAAAACTAGTCATGGACCCGCGAAACCAAACTCCGATGATGTGGCAGCTCCACGCAGAATCCCTACCCAAAGTACACGCCATGGTGACGTTCAGCTTCCTAAACCCTAAACCCTCAACCCTAAACGCACCGTAGCCACTTTGGCTCAAGCCTTGATGGTTTTTCGATCCCCTATCCTGTAGGGGATTCGTGGCTTCTCTCGAGATCCGCTGAGGATCCTAGTGGATCCCTGCTGAGTTCTCGGATTTCTCATCCGGGACTTCATCAGGCGACATTTCGGGAGCGGTCGAAAACTCCGGGGTGGAAGCAACGGGAACCACAGACCTGAGGCAGCGTGGGCCTGGAGAAGCCGACGACGATCCGGACCAGAAGCTCAAACGGAGGGGAATTGGCACAGCTGCCGGATGGTCTGTCTTTTGTTCGTTCGTTTTCAATGAACCGGTCCAAGTCAGTGATGCAGTCTTTTCATTTACGTGGTGCTGGCCGAAGTTCTGCTTCTTCAGGGCCCTGTGCGGGCTCTTTCCGGCAGCTCCTTCAGGAGCGCCTGAATTCGAGCGGGCTGCAGGGCGCGGAGTGTTGGTTCGAATACTGGCTTCCTCCAGTGACAGCGGTGGAGCTGAACCCCCTTCTACTCCCGCAGTTAGGGAAGCCGGACCTGCTATGGTCGTACGACTCTTGCTTGATCGAGGCCAATACGCCATGTTGTTCCACAAATCAAGTGGTACAGGAGCTTGCTAGCCAGCGTACGATCTTGAGCACGCCGACGACACTCTACTATTTGGGATATCAGTACCAGCCCTGGAATCTTATTTACAAGCGCTCCAACAGGAAGTCCAGCCCTATGGTTTAGAGCTCAACCTAACTAAGACTGAACTCCTGGTCCACCCCTCGTTTACTCCTCCACCGACCCAGTACCCCAAACAACATCAGTGAAATGTTTAGGCTCCCAAATCACTTGGAACAGCCCCACAATTCACGCCCTGTTCGCTAGATTTGCACTCGCCCATACCTCTTCCAACAAGCTCCAACATCTTTGGCGGAGTAAATTACCCAGAAAAGTGAAGGTACAAATATTTATGGCTAATATAGTATCCTGTCTCATGTATGGTATGAGCACCCTTACCATGGAAGACAAGCACTTCCGTAAACTTGTTCTTCCAGCACCTACGAAAAGCAATAGGCATTAAAGCATCCTACTATTCTCATATAACAAATAAATCGGTTTGGATTCAAGCCAACAGACCACTCCTCCCATCCCAGATAGTCCTTTCCCAACAGTTTAAGCTTCTTGTTGAATCAGTTTGGGCTCCCGGAGACCAGCCGCTACATCATGTAGCGCATGGACCCGCCCTCAAGGACAGAATAGCGCAGTACAAAAATCATAAGACGGGCCCTCCGCCACCCCGCTGGCTACTCCTGGCAAGCAGCCATGCTTTGGAGTACTGCCGTTCGGAAACCCCGAATATGGACCTCCTAGCCCTTCAGAAGCTGATAAGAAAAGAGCCAGACTTCCCTGCACGCCTCGTGGCCGCGCCTACGCGCCACCCTTTTAAGTTCAGCCTGTTCGCCCAGAATATCGGAAGCGAATGGCAGTCCTAAACCCTAAACCCTAAACCCTAACCCCTAAACCCTAAACCCTAAACCCTAAACCCTAAACCCTAAACCCTAAACCCTAAGCCCTAAACCCTAGACCCTAAACCCTAAACCCGAAACCCTAAACCCTAAGCCCTAAACCCGAGCAGGTTATAAGCTTTCAACAGCGCAGCATTGCAACCTCGAGCGCAGGCCCAGCACGCACAGCCTTCCGAAGCCCAAGGGGGAGGACCGCAGAGTGATTCTCCTCCGTCGTTTCGGGTGATTGAAGGCGCCCTCTGAAGGAACCCCCTAAACCTAAACCCTAAACCCTAAACCCTAAGCCCTAAACCCTAAACCCTCAACCCTCAACCCTCAACCCTCAACCCTCAACCCTAAACGCTAAACCCTAAACCCTAAACCCTCGGCATTTCTCCACCAAGAACCGGAAAGCAGTGTGCTTCCTCCCTTGCAGGATGGGGTGAAGAGTTCCAAGTCCGTCACCTTTGAGGGCCAAGCACAAAGCGAGCAAAGCGAGCAAAGCGAGCCTCGGCATTCTCGGGTTGATTTTAAGTTGAGGTCCCTTTCGGGGTTTAGGGTTTAGGGTTTAGGGTTTAGGGTTTAGGGTTTAGGGTTTAGGGTTTAGTGGCCCCCTTGTGGATCTTGGTGGCAGGAATCCTCTAAATCCTAAACCCTAAACCCTAAACCCTAAACCCTAAACCCTAAACCCTAAACCCTAAACCCTAAACCCTAAACCCTAAACCCTAAACCCTAAACCCTAAACCCTGAACCCTGAACCCTAAACCCTAAACCCTAAACCCTAAAACCTAAACCCTAAACCCTAAACCCTAAACCCAAAACCCTAAACCCTAAACCCTGAACCCTAAACCCTAAACCTAAACCCTAAACCCTAAACCCTAAACCCTAAACCCTAAACCCTAAACCCTAAACCCTAGATCCTAAACCCTACATCCTAAACCCTAAACAGGACCTCTTAGATCTCTCCACAGGATGGTGCAGACACGCCGAAGAGCACGGCCTCTCGTGAGCCTTCACCTGCTGCCGCCGACGTCGGCGAGTTTGTGGGCAGGAGGCTTCAGGCACCCTGAGCCCATGTCTAACCCAGAGACTCCAAAACCCCTTAATTAAGCAATATACCTTAAATTATAGTAGGAACCCTAATATGATTTAAGGTATATTCCTTAATTAAGGGGTTTTGGAGCCCATGTGGGAGTTTACGCGAACGAGGAACCCCTAATCTAGACCCCCCCCAAAGCATGAAGAGCCCCCCAACAACGCCCTTATATGGGGTTGAGGAAAGTAGGGGACCCCGAAAATAGACCCCAAATAGTAGGACTCCCGTATTAGAAGGAGCCCAAAGAGGTACCCCTAATTTCGGAAGCCCCCATGTCTTCTTTTTGCCACATCTCGCCTGACATTCTGTTCCACAGGCGGTGGAAGGCCGTATGGACGAGCTGCTGCGCCGGCAGAGTTCGCTAGAAAGGGTGCTGACGGAGGAGCTGGCAAGGCTGCAGAAGACGCTGCTGTCCGGCACAGGTGGGCAGCCAGCTTGTGTAAGAAAGGCAGCTCGCCTCCTGAACTCTGTCCTGTGAGCAAAGCTGCGGCAAGGATCTCCGCCATCTCATGCCGAGGAGAAGGCTCGCAGAATCTCGCAGAGGCGTCTCTTGGTTTTTTCCGGGATGTCCGGGTCGAGAGCCTGCCAGGAGCGCGGCAGCTGGAAGCTTCCCCTGGAGGAGCTGTCGCAAAAGTGTCTGCAACAGTGGCATAGAGTGGCATGAACTGATGGGATCACAGGAGAAGTGGACCCAGCGTAGTGCAAAAGGCGACCAGGACCACACGATTTGAGCACTGAGCGCTGAGCGTGTGCGGCAACATGTGGCAACCCTGCTCCACTGTTCGCCTTCACAGGAGCCTCGCAAGAGGTCCAAGCAAAAGGTGCGGCGAGTCTTGGCGGACAGACCCTGCCTAGACTTGATCACCGCAGAAGAGGCTGCCGCTCGTCAGCGTAGCAGCTCGAGGGTGCCAGTGCTTTTGAGTTTCGATGAGGCATTTTTGGTGTTGGGTGCCGGTTGCTGGCACGAGGTCGTGGCGCAAGAGCGCGTGAGTCCAGTCCCTCATCAGCCCGATCACGAGACGGCTGGTGGCTCACGCGCCTTGGCGAGACAGAATGCTCCAGCTCAAGAATTCTCTGAGCCCAGCGGGAAAGTCCGACATTGCTTGGTCATGTTTTGTCACCACCCGAGACCAAGCAACCCCCCCAAAACCCTAACCCTGAAGTGTCAAAAAGATGTAAAGAATGTAAATTGGGACGTTCCCCCTTATACTAACAGTCCTTATTAAAGGGATTATACTAGGGGGTTACTCTCATCCCTATTAAGGAGCTGTCCTCAGTTGGGATTATAATAGGGGGTACTCGAATCCCGTTCTAAGGAGCTGTTAGTCTAAGGGGGGAACATCCCAGGGTGTAAAGTCCAACTTTTTGATGCCGGATCCAGGATTGAGCCCAGTGCCGGCGCAGGCCCGGTGGGACTTTGGGGGTGGACGAAAATGGGGGTTTAGGGTTTAGGGATGTTTAGGGTTTGGGGTTTAGCGTTTAGGGTTTCGGGTTTAGGGTTTAGGGATCCCCCTATAATAAGGACCCCCATACAAGTGAGGTACCCATCTTTTCGGAAACCCCCGCTTTGTCGCTCTGATGAACTCCGGGACCCTATAAGGCTTTTGCCCGACACTGTTTGGGAGGCTAGGATAGCCTGAAACTGGCTCTGAATCCTGCTAGGGGTTCATGGGTACGTACAACTATAAGTCTACTTCTAAAATACTAGGCGACTCGGGGAGTTGATTGGTGCACTTGTGATTGGGTCTATGCGTACCCTGCACCTCCAAGTGGGGGATATATCCGTTTGCCTTGCTGTGGACGTGTCAGACCTGTAGTGGTGCCTGTCAGGCTGTGTCTCTCGTGCCGGACGGTCTCAAACAGAGTGGATTTCCACACCTGTGATGTGCTAAGCTGCCAAACCACTGCCAAGAGATCTGTAGACACCTTGAAGGCAAGGTGGCGCCGAAGTAATCTCGAGCCACGCCACACCAAACGGATTCAAGAGCATCTGTATACCGCACCGGCCACACCAAACGGACTCCAGAGCATCTGTATGCTGCACCGGCCACACCAAGCGGATTCCAGAGCGAAAGACTGGAGATCTGCACCCCAAATGTCCCGAATGCCAGTCCTCATCCCAGCATGTCGCAAAATGCAACATGTTCAACTCGAGGGTTCGCGGTTCACAGGCTTTTAGGGCCCCCAAAAAGCCATGCAAGGTTGTTCAGTATTTTGCCGTAGCGTTGTAGGTGGAGTAGCTGCATCTGCAATCTGTGTTTAAGGTGCGCAGAACCCTACTGAGACCTACCCATGAACCTCCAAGTGAAACCCCACAAAGCTTCAACCTTAACCCCGCTTCCCTAAGCCCAAGTGAGCAGGCAGCGGGAATGCCGGAGGCCGCCCTCGAGCCACTGCAGGTGCGGGGGGGGGGGGGTCAAAGTAAACCATAAGGAACTCGACATCTCCACCAGTTTGGGCTTGAAGCCGCAGGGTAGCCGGGTTTTCATCCTAGAGTCGTTGTGATCGCAGGGTTTAGAAGCGAGCCGAAGCCTGAGGTTTTGAGGCAGCCCCAAAGCCTCTTTTAAGCCTTTACCTGAACCCTAGGCCCGAAGCCCTAGACCCTATGGGCTGCCTAGCTTGAGAAGGTGTGTCCACTGTAGACAGAAAGAGAAGGCCCTAAAAACCCCAAACCCTAAACCCCTAAACCCCTAACCCCTAACCCCTAACCCCTAACCCCTAAACCCTAAACCCTAAACCCTAAACCCTAAACCCTCAACCCTAAACACCCGAAGAAGCCCTCTGCGCGGAGGGCTCCCGGTCTTCCGCCGCCTCGGCAGACAGGAGGCCGAGCCAGGCCAGTGACTGAAACGCAAAGGAAGATCCCCCAAAAGGGTGTTTAGGGTTTAGGGTTTAGGGTTTAGGGTTTAGGGTTTAGGGTTTAGGGTTTAGGGGTGTTTGTGGGTAGCTCTTTCCCATATAAGTCCACAGGAACCTGAGTTTACAACAAGAACCGCTAGGTCAACCCCCTATATTGACCCAGAGGCTTCGAAAGGCTTTGGGTAGCGGCTCCTTTTTGGCTCTGATTCTTCAAGCCCCCAGTCCTATAACCAGCCTATAACCATGTGGACTTTAGCCAATGAAGCCCAGCCTGTCGAGAGAGCTGAGGGTTCAAAGCTTCTCGCCCAATTATAAGTGTAGGTTCAGGGTGCTTATAACTCCTAAACCCTAAACCCCAAACCCCAAACCCTAAACCCTAAACCCTAAACCCTAAACCCTAAACCCTAGACCCTAAACCCTAAACCCTAAACCCTAAACAATGAAAAAGTGTAGTTATAGGAGGGTGTAAGCCAGGACGCAGCCTCTCCTTCCTGGCTGCCTTCGGCGCCGCTCGTGGACCCCGAGTTGGTGAAGCCCTGCCAGCATTGGCTGCAGGGGGGTTTAGGGTTTAGGGTTTAGGGTTTGGGGTTAGGGTTTAGGGTTTCTGGGATTCCGGTGGGGCGCAGGTTCTGGAACCAGGGATGTGGGAACCTTCGCAGCAGTGCGGAGTCGAAGGGGCTGTGTGGGCTTTTTCAGCTTCGGGAGGCACCCTAATCTCCAAACCCCTGTCAGTTGAGGGCACAAGGTCCCAGTTTGTGCCAGCCGGAAGCCGAGGACGCTGCAGGTGGAATCAGGCACTACTCTGTCTGTCGAGGACATCAAGCTTCCCAAACATGCGTGACATGCTGTTGCGGCAGGCGAGGCTGCAGAAATCTGTAAATCGACAGTTAATGGCGGTAGGCTCCAGGAACGCGCGACCGGAGACTTGGCGCAAGTCTTAATGTCAGCGCTTTCCCGAATGCTTGTCTTTTCCCATGCTTGCACATGTTTCGGGCTGACGAAGTCAGTGTCCGGCTGTGCCGCAGAATGGTCGGGAGAGTTCGGAGTGATGCAGCTGAAGTATGATCCCGAAGCAGTACAAAGGTGGGCTGCAGGGGTGGCTTCCCGAAAGTCTTAAAAAATGTCGGCTGAAGACGACGAGCGTGCTCCCCGTGCGCATTGGAAGCAGCAGCCGTGTCCAAAGGCAGGGCTGCTGTGACCGAATGCGCACATGTAAACGAATCTTTATGCCCTTCGGAGACGTGTCCCGGCCCGGTGCACCTCAGACGCTGGGCCTCGGCTGTCATTGAATGGAATCTCGGCACCTCGGAGAGGAAGGCGACCTCAAGAAAAAAAGGAAAAGAGCCGAGCCACGCGCGAGCGCGCGCACATAACGGAATCCGAGAAATCAGAGCTGCCATGGTCGCGGAGTCGTGCTGCACCGGAAGGCTAGCTCTGGGGCAGCCCCCACACCTCCAGAGGTTCGCACGTCTTAGAGAGAAGTGGATGTATGCGGAAGGTAAGTGGCATGATGGACTCTTGGCCCAGGTCTCCAGCACAGGCGCCGCGGAGAAGATCACGGAGGCCAAAACTGGTCTTAAGTCAGGCCCCTAAACCCTAAACCCTAAACCCTAAACCCTAAACCCTAAACCCTAAACCCTAAACCCTAAACCCTAAACCCTAAACCCTAAACCCTAGACCCTAAACCCTAAACCCTAAACCCTAAACCCTAAACCCTAAACCCTAAACCCTACATCCTCTTAGAGTCCAGGAAGCGCGGCCGGGACCCACCGGTACCACTGCGACACATGGTAGAGCGCGGCTCTCGGAGCTTTTGTTGGGAAGTAGTCGAAGAAGTCGGTCTAGGGTTTAGGGTTTAGGGTTTAGAGTTTAGGGGCCCGGGCCGTTTTTTTTTTTGACAGCTGAGGCGCTCAAAGCCATCTTACAAAATGCGGTGGTCTGCTCCCAAGACGTGTCCAGGTCACAAGCCCCAAGAAGCTTCATGGGACCAACAAGGGCAGAAAGCGCACCCACGCACACAGCACGCACATGTGCACGCACACGCACACACAAACACAAGCACATATACAAACAGTTACAAGCAAGAGAAGGGAAGCTAGATGCCAGAGCCGGTGGAGTTACTGCGAGGCTGTAATGTTGACTTCGCATTAATAAACCCCCCCCCCCCCCCCCCTTCATTGATCAATCTCCCCGGCCAGGGCCTCCTCAATAATGTTCGCCTAAATCCTGGTAGGACGTACTATTAGTTTTAGTATTAGGTAGTAGCACCACGCCCGTAAAAACCGGATTTCCCGGGTCGGATTTTACAATTGTGGCGGGTTACAATATTGTGTTCCGGCAGCGGGATTTTACAATTGCGGCGGGAATCACTAATGTGAAGTCAACATTAGGGTAGATGCCCTCGATGCTTGTCTGCTGGGAGTGTCTCGTCGGCCGAGACACGGTTTCCCACGGAGAGCCTCATCACCAACATGTATTTCTACTTCGTTGTAACCATGTTCTTGCTGGCCACGGCCTTAGTTGCAGCCCATGCGCTTGCTCTAGCTTTGCATTCCACAGTGTAGACAGTCAGCAATCAGCAGTCCCAAGATAGTGTAGAGCCCTAATTTGCCTAAGTACTTCTGACTGCCCCTGGCAAACTGAGGTTGTGTTTTATGTGCTGGTGTTCCAGATGTTGGATGAGGCAACGTTGGCATGTGCCTGGAAGTGCATATTCTCACAGGCAACCATCGGTCCTGATGCGAACCTTGAAGCCAGAAAGCCCTAACCCTACTTTGCGTGGTTCCCTTTGCCTTCGCAGGAGCACGAGAAGGAAAGTTGAGGAATGGCCGCGGCCTTGCCATGCTATCCCCGAGTGCACATGTTTGGTTGAAGAGCCACTAAGGACTACCCATTCCACTTCTCCGCCGAAGCCGAAGCAAAGTGATGGAAACGGTGGATGCACAAGATCGCAAGTACCGTACGAGCACGAACCGCTTCAACTACTGGACTCGTTCCAACCCTCAGCACTCATGCCTACCCCATGATATATACATATATATATATATATGTATATACATATAGATGTATAGATTATGTACAATGTAAGTATAGTATACATGCCACCACATTCGATTTGTTAGACTTGGCGGCCGAGCGGCCAAGTGAACCGCGCCACGCACTGTGGGGAAAGGGCATGTTTGGAGCTTGACCGAGTTGGGCTAGGGTTTTAGGGTTTAGGGTTTACGGTTTAGGGTCAGCCCTAACCCTGCTAAGCCTCGTAGGGCATGTAGCAGACATAGTGTGTCTTTATTCAAAAACTCTGCAATGTACCCTTTCGAGGCCAACTCAGTCGGGTTCTCCACTCTACCCTTGGGCTTTTGAGGCATGTCAATGTAGAGGGCATGCCGTAAGAGATGCACGCTAGCCATGTGCGTCAGCTTCCCCGCAGACAAGCGGGTCGTTTCACAATCAAACTCCGCTGTCTGCAGGGCCTCAATGCCTCAATGACTCAAGCATTCCTGACAGGACGACGATTCCGCAGATTCTGTAGCACAGCTGTCCTTTATTGGGATCCGCCCTAGGGCATCATCTCCCTCGTGACGCTTTGTACATATGATGTCCAGCGCCTTAATCACCTGCGCAAGGGCAAGGTACCCATGCCTGGCGCACATCCGCAGGCAGTCAACATGGTCATGCATCCTTCTCTCTCTCTCTCTCTTTCTCTCGCGCTCTCTCCCTCCCTCCCTCCCTCCCTCCCTCTCACCATCTTGACATCTTCGCGGATTTTTCTCCAGCAGCTGCTTCGTATTGTCTTCTGCCGAGGCAGAGTTGTAGCGGAGCTCGTGGTAGCCCTGCCGTCGCAGCGCAGGATCTCCGATTCCGAAGCACCCGATGCCCTCAACCCTAAACCCTAAACCCGAAGCCCTAAGCCCTAAGCCCTAAACCCTAAACCCTAAACCCTAAGCCCTAAACCCTAAACCCTAAACCCTAAACCCTAAACCCTAAACCTCCCGGCTGTGCCATTTCGGCCTCAGAGCGCTGCGTAGGTTGACGTGCCCGGAAGCACGAGGCCCCCGACCTCAAGCGGGGAGGGGCACAGGGCCCACGAGGGTTCGAGGGATGGTCGGGGCTTAGGGTTTCTTGCAATGTCTCCTACACTTCTTGTGACGGAAACCTACTTGGAGGTTCATGGTACTTATTAGCTAATAATAGCTGTGCTTATATCCATATAAGGGAACTTAAGGGGCATGAGTTAATTTTAACGCTACGCGACCCGCCTCGGCCCGGCCCAGCGCATCCGCGTGAGCATGGTTATTCCGCAGCGCCCAAGTCGCTGGACCCCAAGCAATAAGGGTTGGGTTGAGGGTTGAGGGTTGAGGGTTCCGGGTTTATGGTTTATGGTTTGGGGTTTGGGGTTGAGGGTTAGTTTAGGGCTCAAGGTTCACGCTTTGGGGTTGAGGGTTTTTTTGGGTTTAGGGTTCGGCTTGGAGTGATCGTAGGGTTGAGCCAGGCCCCTTAAGGTTTAAGGCGACTCTTCGGCAGGGTGGGTGGGGGGGGGGAGGGGGGGGAGGGGGAGGGGGGTGGGGGGGGGGGGGGGGGGGGAGGGGGGGGGGGGTGGGGGGGGGAGGGGGGGAGGGGAGGGGGGTGGGGGAGGGGGGGGGGGAGGGGGCGGTAGGGGGGGTGGGGAGGGGGGGCGGGGGTGGGGGGGGGGGAACGGGCGGGGAGGGGCTTCAACTGCCTCTGGTCCTGACCAACGGCTTTGGTGTGGGGAGGCTTTGGAGGGGTGCCTGTTCTGACAACCTATACACCTCCGGCCCGAGGCCTCGGCGGATAAGTACCATGAACCTCCAAGTAGGTTCCAGAAGGTCGTAGGAAGACTAGACTAGAAGTCTGACGGGATTGTTTCTTACCAGGCTCAGTTTTTTTCTTGCAATGTTCGAAGAGGATTTGTTGGGGGATCGCCTTTCTGGCAGATGTTCATGTATCGCGATTGGATTCTGAATCCTAAATTGCCCTTAGCAGACATGTGAGTTTACGCAAAGCCTGGCCGTGAACAAACACTGTTGGGTGATCGTATGACAACCCACGAGTCAAAGCGTCGCTTTGCTTTGTCAGTTGCATCATAACGAATGTTGATGATGGGTTTAAGGTTTAGGGTTTAAGGTTTAGGGGTTTAGGGTTTAGGGTTTAGGGATTCGGCAGATGGATAGCTCCCAGCACTGAGTAGTGCCTTTAGGACCATGCCAGGTGCAACATGGGCGCTTGTGGTGGCAAGAACCAGGTTATCCACAAGCAAAGTGCAACTATCTCAGGAGGAATCATGGGGGGACAAATAGCTAAGAGTGGCTCGGAGGGGGGTTTAGGGTTTAGGGTTTAGGGTTTAGGGTTTAGGGTTTAGGGGGAGGGGGCTCAGGTGAGAGAGGTGATCGGAAGTGAAACTGCCCTGCACGTACTGCAGAGCCTGCGCAGACCGAGGGCAGCTTTGGTCAAGATGCACACAGCAAGCAGAGGCCAGGGCTCTTGCAGAACGCGCCCAGAGACTCCAAAACCCCTTAATTTAGGAACATACCTTAAACTATAGTAGGAACCCTAATATGATTTAAGGTATATTCCATAATAAAGGGGTTTTGGAGTCTCTGGGTGCAGAACGGGGAGGCCACAGAGTTTTGCAGCTTCCCGTTGGTGGATGCAGGAAGCACGACCTTCCCACCATGTTGAACGGCGTGCTTGGGCACTCAGACTTTGCCCGATGCTTCATGAACACAAGCAACCATGACAACTGCCAGATTCGGAGAAGACCTGCGGAACCGTTTCATGAAAGGATTAGATTTCTCTAAGGTGAGGCGCTGGTACCTAATTGTAGGTCTGTGGGGCGTGAGGGCCACACTTCTGCGTCGTCGCCGTTCCGGCTATGCTGGATTTCTCCGCAAATTCTGGTTTCTGAAACTTCGTGTCTTCTTGAGAAGCAGTTGCTGCCTAGGATGTTTGCTGAATATCTCCTTTGTCCCCAACATCCCTTCCCGCTGTTGCTATCCAGACCGGTCAGTTTGCGCCCAGATCCGGACAGAAGTCTTCCAAAGCCGCTTGCTTCCCAGAGCTAGAACTGGGGCTTCCCAGATGGATACTTGGAGGTTCATGGTACTTCTTAACCAATTACGACTGTACTTATCACTGTGCTTATAACCAGATTAGGGAACTTAAGGGGCTTTAAAATAGTGGGTTAGAAGTAGACTTATAAGTAGCTAATAAGTACCATGAACCTCCAAGTAAAGCAGAGTATCCAGTTGTTACAGTCTCAGATGGCGGGCGTCTGCGGCACAGGATGCGCTTTCTCGGGCACAGCTGATTCTGAACCACTCAGGGTTCGGCGCTCGGAGGTGTCAACTGGGCAGTTCTCTAAATTGGGGTGTTCCTTTTTGGGTTCCTACTACAAGGCGGCACCCTTTAAAAAGGGATCCCTTAAAAAGGGACCCTAACTTAGAGAACTACCCACTTGAGCTGACGTATGCATCTCCACCAGCACCTTGAGCACTTATGGCGCGTGCAGCTGAGGAACGTGCGGGATATTTACAGAATCGAGGCTTTCGACTGCAATGCCAGGGTGTCCCAAAGTAACCCTAAAGTCTAAACCCTAAACCCTAAACCCTAAACCCTAAACCCTAAACCCTAAACCCTAAACCCTAAACCCTAAACCCTAAACTCTAAACCCTAAACCCTAAACCCTAAACCCTAAACCCTCTCTACCTATATATATTTAAACCCTAATGGGGTCGTTGACCTTTTTGTCCCTAAACGTGGTTCCTAAATCCTAAATCCTAAATCCTAAATCCTAAATCCTAAATCCTAAATCCTAAATCCTAAATCCTAAATCCTAAATCCTAAATCCTAAATCCTATATCCTATATCCTATATCCTATATCCTAAATCCTAAATCCTAAATCCTAAATCCTAAATCCTAAATCCTAAATCCTAAATCCTAAATCCTAAATCCTATATCCTATATCCTATATCCTATATCCTAAATCCTAAATCCTAAATCCTAAATCCTAAATCTTAAATCCTAAATCCTAGTCTAGTATGGGCTGTCCCGGGGCCCCGCCGGGACGGGTTGTCCCGGGGCCCCCCCAGGACAGGCTGTCCTGGGGCGTCCCGGAGCGTCCCGGGGCCCCCTGGGACAAAGTCCCGGCACCCCGCCGGGACACCCCCGGGACAGCTGTCTCGGGGCCCCCCCGGACGCCCCGGCACGCCCCCAGGACATTGTCCCGGGGCCCCCCCCGGGACGCCCTAAATTTTGGCTGCGGTCCGTTTCGTTTTCTGTGTTTACGGGGTTCTGTACGGCCAAAACCGTGGATTTCAGTACTAGAAAACGGCATTTTTCCTTGCGGGAGCAGCAAATCCCGGGTCCCCCCCTTTTTCGGGTACTGTTTGAAGCCTTCTGGGGCTTTTTAAAGCCCCCGAAACCGTTGATTTCAGGACTGCTAAATGGCATTTTTCCTTGCGGGAGCAGCAAATTCCGGGTCCCTCCCCTTTTTCGGGGGCTTTTTGAAGCCTTCTGGTGCTTTTTTAAAGCTATTTGAGGAGCCCCGAAACCGTCGATTTCAGTACTAAAAAACGGCATTTTTCCTTGCGGGAGCAGCAAATCCCGGGTCCACCCCTTTTTCGGGGATTTTTTGGAGCCTTTTGGGGCTTTTTTTTTGGGGCTGCGGTAGTGCTTTCGGGTAAAATGGAGGGGCCCCGAAACCGTCGGTCTTAATACAAAAAAAACCAACAGTTTTCGTTGCGGGAGTAGGAAGGATTTAGGGTTCAGGGGACTTAAGCAATAAGAATTGAAATGGTAGATAGGGTTGCCACATGAAAGGGATTCTGGGTGGGTGGGGTGATGCCAAACACCCTTAGTGAATGCTTGGATCAGAGATGCTGAACCCTAAACCCTAAACCCTAAACCCTAAACCCTAAACCCTAAACCCTAAACCCTAAACCCTAAACCCTAAACCCTAAACCCTAAACCCTAAACCCTAAACCCTAAACCCTAAACCCTAAACCCTAAACCCTAAACCCTAAACCCTAAACCCTAAACCCTAAACCCTAAACCCTTAACCCTTAACCCTTAACCCTTAACCCTTAACCCTTAACCCTTAGCCTGACTGCTCTGAAATCGGAGGCAAGAAAGCTAGGTGAAGGGACGTATGGCGCCGTTTCCAGCGCTGTGCCCGGCTCTCAGACTTCCCCCCCTAAACCCTAAACCACCCTAAACCCTAAACCCTAAACCCTAAACCCTAAACCCTAAACCCTAAACCCTAAACCCTAAACCCTAAACCCTAAACCCTAAACCCTAAACCCTAAACCCTAAACCCTAAACCCTTCTTTCCAAGATCCTCTTAAGGGAGTCTAAGGGGCCATCTTCGGAGCATGTTAAGGGCGCCTCCAAACCTTGAACCCTAAACCCCCAGGACCCCGAAACCCCCGAAAAGCCCCTAAAACCCCTAAACCCCCTTGAAAAAAAGCCCCGAAACCCTAAAGGCCCTAAACCCCAAAGAGAGCCGAGTATTCGACCCCCCTTGAGTCAAGAGGCACAAGCAGACGGGCGTCGTCCGCGCCATCAAGACCATGTCCAAGGCTACCCAGAGACTCCAAAACCTCTTATTTAAGCAATATACCTTCAATTCTAGTAGGAGCCCTATTATGATTTAAGGTACATTCCTTCATTAAGCAATGTACCTTAAATTATAGTAGGAACCCTAATATGATTTAAGGTACATTCCTTCATAAGGGGTTTTGGAGTCTCTGGGTAGGGCTCCGCCTCTCCGGGGAGAGCGCCTCCGTTTTATTTTTATTTTTGCTTTTGTTTCTGTTTTTACCTTTTTTTAAAACTGTTTTGCAGTAAATATTTTATTTTTTTTATGTTTTTTAAGGGACGTTCTTGGGAAGTTGGAGGGTTTAGGGTTTAGGGCTTGGGGTTTAGGGCCGACCTCGTTGAGCGCGCAGCAAAGTGCTAGGCTTACAAGCAGGAGCGGCCACAGCACCCGACAGTCGATACCCCCGAACCTTGGGATGTTCACGCTTTTTGGGGTTTAGGGTTTAGGGTTTAGGGTTTAGAGTTTGGGGTTTAGGGTTTAGGGTTTGGGGTTTAGGGCTCCTCAATTGGGATGCAAAATAACCCCCGATTACCATCCCTATTAAAGGAGCTGTTAGCAAAAAGGGGGAACATCCCAAACGACAGAGTTTGCTAACCCTAACCCCTAAACCCTAAACCCTAAACCCTAAACCCTAAACCCTAAACCCTAAACCCTAAACCCTAAACCCTAAACCCTAAACCCTAAACCCTCAAGCCCCTGGCCAGGGGCAGATGAAGAATCTGAGTCGCTTCCAACAAGAAGTGGCCATCATGAAGGCCGGGAGGGTTTAGGGTTTAGGGTTTAGGGTTTAGGGTGTAGGGTGTAGGGTTTAGGGTTTGGGGTTTGCGGAGGTCGTGCCGCGGCCATTGCGCGCCTGCTGTAAATAGGGTTCTTGAACCTTGGGTTATTTAACCCCCTTTGAACCCCCTTCCCTCAAGAAATGAGGGATCCCTATTTTAATAGACCCTCAATTAGTAGGTTTTTTTTTAGAAACCCCCATGTAGTACCCATGTAGGTAATGGACCACCCCAACATCATCAAGCTCTTCGAAACCTTCGAAGATCGTCATGGCCCAAGCTCTCGGACTAAGAAGGGGCACGCTTCATCGGCACCTCTAATGCGCGGGACGCGCCGTGAGAATGATCCCCTAAACCCTAAATCCTAGACCCTAAACCCTAAACCCTAAACCCTAAACCCTAAACCCTAAACCCTAAACCCTAAACCCTAAACCCTAAACCCCAAAACCCAAACCCAAGGAAGGCATATCTACCTCGTCATGGAGCTCTGCTCCGGTGGAGAGCTCTTCGATCGTATCATCGAAGCACTGGAGCTCAGAGAGGTCTCTCCTCTGCTTCACGGCTCTCTCTCTCTCTCTCTCTCTGCAGTTTGACGAAAAGTCTTTTCTTTTTGGCTCTTGTTCTTTTTGTAAATCCCTCTGTCTTTCTCTCTCTCTCTCTCTCTCTCGCCTCTCTCTCCCTTCTCTCTGTGTTGAGGAGAGCCCTTTGCTCTCCTTCTCTCACGGCTCAGGCCGGCCACTTCACGGAGTCGGATGGCGCCATTGTAGTGTGGGGTCTGCCGTTCTTTGGGGTCTGTTTCGCCCAGGTTTCGGCACGCTCCGTTCGTCGGAGCGTTCGTCTTACATGCAGCGGAACATGTAGCCGCAATGGTCAGCCAGGTCTCACATCCTTCACGCCATCTTCTACATGCACAAGCAGCTTGTTACAAACAGGGCGGCAGGGAAGGACCACAGACTTTGAGTTGATGCTCATATCGGCCCATGAAACCGCTGGGGCACCGAGGATGGACGTCTGCCACACTCTGAGCCATGTGGGTGCTTGTCAAAATTATGATCCCTTTTGGGGTACCCTTACATATTCGGTGCCGTATGATAACAGGGATCCAAAAAGGGATCATAATTTTGACAACCAGCCATGTGAGTTGAAATAGAGCTTGCCCAGATTCACAAGTGGAGCTTGCCTGCCCTTCCTGTTAGCTCCAAAGCGGGGCGAGGCCACAGGGACCTGAAGCCAGAGAACTTCCTGCTGCCAAGCTGAAAGTTTGGTGGACTGAACCCTTGAACCTACTCTCCAGTTGAAAGTCGACATTTATTAATATATATATATATATTATTTAATATGGTATACGTTGATATAGGTTAATATATTATGTATATCGACCAGCTCAAGCGGTTGCGGACCAGTAGCCGAGGTTCCTGACCAAGGTGCGGCTGTCTGAGCTTGGTGCTTGTCACAGCATGGTCTTGGCTACAGCTTTGTGCCGCGATGTCGCTTTCTTGATTTTTGTCTTCTTGCGTTTAAGCATGTGGGCCACTGCCCAAGGGCTGCTTGTTTGATGGTCAAAAGCGATAACCTTGATGCAGAGTTTCCAGAAGAACCCCCTGATCGGAAGCCCATGGCAGACCTTTGTGCCCGTGTAGACCCGAGAACTGAGAACTACCTCAGCTGGTTTTTCAGAGGCCCTTACAGCTTTGGTGACTGAGGGATCTTTATGGGAGTTTACTTTACGAAAATAGGGGATCCCTTAAGATAGACCCCCAAATAGTAGGATTCCCTTATCTCAAGGACCCCAAGAAGGTACCCCCCTAATTTCGGAGACCTTCTTAGGGTGACCTTCATGAAGCCAGGATCCGATCAGTACGAATGTTCTCAAGCTGATAGCTTGGAGCTTAGACACACCTTGTCTCTGCAGATCTAAGATGCAGCGGTTGTGTTGTGGGTAACTTGTCGGCAAGCTGGGTGTGTGGCCTTTGCTGAGGACTTTGGCCTCTCCAGCTATGTCAACGATGGGAAGGAGTGCTGCTCGTGGGATGTGTGCTGCAAGTGCTTTCGAACGTGATGCATCAGATTCTGCGAGGGTATTACAGGAAACGGCTCCTTTCCTTCCAGCAGAGGGGAATGCCAACTTAAAGGTCCAGGGCTGTCTTTTTTTTTTGGGGGGGGGTCGGGGTGGGGTCGGGGGTGGGGTCAGGGGGTGGGGTTGGGGGGTGGGGTCGGGGGTGGGGTGAGCCTGGCGACCGCTTCCACCGCCTTCTCGTGTGAAGCCTTCAAGAGATGGTCCTCTTGCCTCAGGCCATGTCTACGAAAGCAGGGACTCCATATTATGTGGCGCCACAGGCCCCCCGAATTTTCTGGGCAGCCGAAGAAGCTGGGTTTGCATGGATGGAATGCGAAAGCTTTCCGGAAGGTTCTCCAGGGCAAGTACGACAAAGCCTGTGACTTGTGGAGTTGCGGAGTGATCATGCCCCACCCCAAGAGTGGACAGTTCCGGTATGTTCTGGTGGAGAGAAGCGCGTTTTGTCTCGGTTTTCCCAGGTACACCATGCTGTGTGGGTACCCTCCCTTCTATGGAAAGACTGACCACGAGGTGTGGATCTTTCTCGTATCTGTAGTGTGCGGAGTGGCAAGCCCCTTTTGATCTCCAGTAGGCCCGGCGTTGCAAATCAAGTCGCGAGGTGCTTCACAAGGTAAAGGCCGGCAGCTACACCTTCGACCAGAAGGCAAGGGGCCCCAGTTCCTCGGGCCCAGTTGGTTCAAAAATTCTCACTTCGCACAGTGGGTTGCATGGAAAAACAACGAGAGCAGTCAGCCCGGGGAGGACTGGAAGAACATCTCGGAGGATGCTAAGGCGCGCGCTGCTCTGATGGGGTGGAGGTGACCTGTTCGGAAAGAAGAGCTGTGGGTAGTTGGGTCAGGGGTCGTAGATTGCCGGGGTGTTTTCGGTGGTGTCTGTGGGGCTGGGGGGGTGGGGGTTTGGGGCGGATAAGAACGTCATTCATCCTTTGCCCATGCCCAAAACACATGTATTTACAGCGTTGAGGTAGTTTTTTGTACATTTCGAAGACTGATTTTCAAGAAATCGTGCAATCCCAACAGCAACACACGTTTCCTTGAAAGAACTCCACGGAGCTTGCTGCTCCCAGCACAGCATGACATGGCCCCGCCGCAAACCCGAAGAGCTCTGAACACCAAGCACCGTGCTGTTGCAGGCGCTGATCAGGATGCTGATAAAGTTTGACCCTGCTGAGCGATACACAGCTGAGCAGGCCGTGAGCATGTCGTGTCGCGAGACGGCTGAGTCAGAGTGCGCCTGTGGCCAGGCACTGCAGCACGAGTGGATCAGGTGCAGTCCGCAGTTCGCTGCAAGAGTTGCTGCAAGCATCTGCATAGCCCGGCTTTTCGTATCTGATGGCCTTGACTTTCGGCTTGAGCTTCGGAACATGGCGGCACTCGGCGCAAGCTCTAAGTCTCGCCTGGAATCGTCACAAGCCTCACCGTCCCAAGCCCCTTCGTAAGCCCCCACATGGTCATGAACTTCGACCAGCAACTGACAGCGACTCACGTCTGCAACGCCTTCACGTGGGCCCCTTCCCGAAGTGGCAATGCCCGAGAAAGGCCGGGATGTAGACACCTGGTGTCTAAAGCGCAAAACACAAGGCTTACGGTTCCTTTTTAGGAGGCCTCGCTCCTCCTACTGAGCCCCACCATACCCAAGCCTCGGCGAGGAGAAGCAGTCGTGTCGCAGGGCGCTGGCGGACGGCCGAATCTGCCAGGCTGGCACACAACAAGTCGCAGTTCTTTGCAGACTCAGGGCGTTCCACGATCACAGCGTGGTAGTTGGTGATGCATGGTTCCGCGTCATCCGCAGGCATCTCATCAGAATACACCCGGGTCCAGGGCGAGCTGATCTGGGCGAGGCCACAAGATATTGGGGGGTTTCCGACAATAGCGGAGGGGGTCACCTTTTTTGGGGGTCCCTTTAAGGGGATCCTCGTCTATATATGGGCCCTAAACCCTAAACCCTAAACCCTAAACCCTAAACCCTAAACCCTAGACCCTAGTTTTGGAGACATCCGTATCACAAGATGGTGCCGCGGCGCACTTCGCCTCATCATGGTAGCTCCTTTCTCCCCCTGGTTCTTAGTAGGGAATGAGGGAATTACGGCCCTACATATAGCCTTTAAGGGATTATAGAGGGCCCTAGATATACCCTGTAAGGGATTATATAGGGTACCTCATTCCCTCATTCCCTACCAAGAAGCAGCCAGTCTCAGCCGGAGGAAGTCCTTCGAGGAGCTCGAGTACGTCCGAAAGCGTACGGAGAATCCACCGAAGCTCGGGGGCCCATCCTTTCAGAGTTTGGGATTTCCACAAACCCTCAACCCTCAACCCTCACCCTCAACCCTCAACCCTCAACCCTCAACCCTCAACCCTCAACCCTCAACCCTCAACCCTAAACCCTAAACCCTAAACCCCAAACCCCAAACCCTAAACCCTGAACATAACTCCCCGAACCCTAAACCTACGTGGCATGCGGTAGATGTTGAAGACTGAGCTGCCCAGGGCCCGAAAGAGACTGGGCAAGCTCGGGCGCTTCGAGCTGGTGCCAGGTTCTCAGGCTTCTTGCACGCTTAGGGTTTAGGGTTCAGGGTCTAGGATTTAGGGTTTAGGGTTTAGGGTTTGGGGTTTGGGGCTCTTTGACAAGACCAGCGGTGAAGAGTTGATACAGGCCTGTGGTGCATGTGCTTGTGCAACATGCTGGAACAGGGTGCTCCACATGAGGCGCTATCCCACCTACGTGGACGTAAAGATGGTCACCACATCTCCCAGGCACAACACCGTCATGTCGGGCCCAGAGGAGTGGCATTCGCATGCGTATTCTGATGCATGCTGCGCCAGGGAGTCCCAGTGCAGTGCTATTGCAAGCCTCGTCACAGGCCGAGGGCTTAGGAGAACACCAGGAGGTTGCACGGTGAAGTCGTGAGAGTCTGGAGCGTGGCAAGCACCCCAGGGCTCGGTCCAACTCGCCTGTCGCAGCTCGAGCCAACCCTGCTCTTAGCTCAGCGGTGATTCCAAGAACGCAAAGTGGGAGTTTACGAAAAAAAAGGCCCCCCCCCAAAAAAATAGTAGGCCTGCTAAAATTTAGAACCCCAATAAGGTACCCCTAAACACTAAACCCTAAACCCTAAACCCTAAATCCTAAACCCTAAACCCTAAACCCTAAACCCCAAACCCTAAACCCTCCCCAAGTAAGAGAACCCGCAGCATCTTGTTCGTGCTGGAGGCCCGTGCCAGTCGTCTCCTCCGATCTGGCCATTGCTCGGCCTGGTGAACATGAGGAGCAGGTCAGGAGGTCTGGTACTTTCCTGAAGAGGTTTAGGGTTAAGGGTTTAGGGTTTAGGGTTTAGGGTTTGGGGTTTAGGGTTCAAATTGAGCTTCCCGAGTCGACGTATGTGGGCGCTTCGGATGTCTTTGGCAGAGAGCCTGCTGGCGAGGCCTCGGCGGTGTCTGCGTGCCCCTCCTCTGCACCTCTCCAGGCAGCTCTCCAGCGCCGAGCGGTTTTTTTGGTGTTTAGGGTTTAGGGTTTAGGGTTTAGGATTTAGTCTCATCTTTGGGCCCAGGTTGAGTCGGCTAAGACGTTAAGGTCTACCGGGTTCAGAGCACAAAGTCCTTCCCGCATCTTGGGACTTGCACAGTCCAAGAATCATCGCACAAGCACATTATGACTAGTGACTAGGACCTGCGCCGCCGGAGAGGAGGTTCGATGCTATGAAAAGTAGCTGACATGATCGATGGCTCCGTTGCGTGCCCCAGTATATAGCTGTCCGCAAAAAGTCTATTGTGTCTTAGACGCGGATCTGAGATCCAGCTTTCGTTTTGGCAGGTATCAGGTATTGTAACGATTATGAGGTGGCTTCTTCCTCAAAACCAAACGAAAGAAAAGGCAATCAGTTCAAACAGAACTGTCATCAGACAAGTGCATCCTTTTCTGAGGGACAGCCCCCAAAAGATCGAATAATATCCGAAGAATCTCAGGCACTGTTTTGCTTTGACTTTAGAAGTTGTGCTTCTTTCCAAGGAGATGTGCACTGTACAAACGAGATGTAATCGGAAGACGGTTTTCTGGAACCGGAGGGCGTGGGGGGCGGGGATCTGCGTGTCTGGCAAATTCAGGTGTTTCTTTTGATTATTCGTAGGGCACATGTAGCATAGTGCCAAAAGCTCTTGCTGCCTGCAGATGCTGAAGTACCAGAACCACTCTTCGGATTGGATGAGGCGCCCATGCCAGCAGCAGAGTGCTTTGCCTGTGTGACCCTAAACGCGAAGCCCCCTAAATGCCGTCAATTTTCAGGCCCCTCAAGCCCCTCAAGCCCCTCAAGCCCCTCAAGCCCCTCAAGCCCCTCAAGCCCCTCAAGCCCCTCAAGCCCCTAAAGCCCCTAAAGCCCCTAAAGCCCCTAAAGCCCCTAAAGCCCTTAAAGCCCCTAAAGCCCCTAAAGCCCTACCTAAACCCCCTAAAGCCCCCAAACCCCTAATCCCCTTAACCCCCCCAATTCCTAAACCCTAAACCCTAAACCCTAAACCCTAAGCCCATTAAAAAGCCTAAAGTTTGAGCCGTTGCCAGGAAGCTCGAGGGCCAAGCGCTCTATCCAGGCCCAACATAGGGTTTAGGGGTCAGGGTTTCGGGTTTAGGGTTTCGGGTTTGGGGTAAACCCTAAACCCTAAACCCTAAACCCTAAACCCTAAACCCTAAACCCTAAACCCTAAACCCTAAACCCTAAACCCTAAACCCTAAACCCTAGACCCTAGACCCTAAACCCTAAACCCTAAACCCATAGGGTTCAGGGTTTAGGCTTTGGGGTTTGGGGCAGTATTTTGCGTTTTGGAGGTTCCATTGAGTAGCAGAACAGGTGGGGGGGGGTTCAAGCCGAGAAGCTCGAGGCTCCTTCTAAGCCCTCTTTGGGGTTCGTAAACCCCTAAACCCTAAACCCGAAACCCTAAACCCTAAACCCTAAACCCTAAACCCTAAACCCTAAACCCTAAACCCTAAA